GCCAGAACTGTCACGCACACTTTACTTCATTTTCCACAGACGCACGGTTCCCTGTTATACGCGATTGTCTTGTCAGGCAGAGCCTTATAGAACAGCGCTGTCTCATCAGCGTTGAAAATGTTGCATGGCTCCTACGTAGAAAGGCGCGCGGATAGTCCAGACCGCCAGTCCTGCACAACATTTTCGTCAACCGCACCTCTTTTACCACACACATTGCGAAACACCAGTCTGTGTCGCTTCTTGAAGCGGTTGAACCAGCCTTCCGACGCATTCAAGGAGTCAATGTTCATAGTCACCACGAACTTCTCTGCTTGTGCGCAGATAAGGGGGCCGCTCAAGGGCAAAACGGCAATCCAGCACAACAGCGCTTCTTCTAGCTTGAGATGCGCTGCCGTTCGAAGCCTCTTCCTTTGGTTGCCAAACATGTCCTCGTCATACGCTTGCATAATCTGCTCTTCGTTCTTCACGCATGTGCTCAGCGTGCTCATCTTCACATTGAACTTTTTCATCTCTTCTTTTTGAGATACTCCCACTTGCAACGCCTTCAATATTTTCACCTTCTCAACCAAATCCTTGGCTTCATACTTTGCCCTCTTCAATGCAGGAGACAGAGGGGAAGCCATCCTGGTGCTACGGCCGCAATCAGGTCTCAAAGTTGTTTAGGTGCGCCGTCGATTTGGCCGACAGAATCCGCTGCTGCTTCCCCATCGTGACTCGACCGCGGTCGGCCGTTCGAATCAACTGAAGTGCGGCCGAATTTGTCCGAACAATGAGAGTTTTCAGTCATAGAACAATGTATATTTCGGACAGGACCAGATGCTGTGACCGAATTAACCGAAATTCCGAATTAACGAGACTTTACTGTATGGTTTTTAAGGAGAAAATACAATTTTGTGAGGAGCTGTAGCTACAAGTATATAAGTGCTCTGGACATACAGAACCAGAATTTGGTAGCATGAGAAAATGTACGGCCACATCCATTGTAGCTACAAAAGCAGAGTCCCACAACACAAAGGTCGCCAGATAGATGGAGGCCACATCTACTGCCATAGGAAACCCTCAAGATCCAACCAACTGCCACACATACATATGCATGCTAGATATCAGTGCTGCTTCAAAGATAGCAAATGAATCATTCTGACCAGACGATATACACTTTCGAAAAGAAGGCAAGATGATGGGCACTGGCTTAATAACGTTTCCAGTAATTATGACCATGCTGTATAATTAGACCCTACATATAAAGCACACACAGAAACTGAGGGCCATCATACTCTGTGAAGCCAGGTGACTAGTAGAGACAATGGGCACGTTCTCGTCCTTACTATAGTTGCCGTTTTTCATAAGGGCTTTGCTCCTCAGGCGCTCTCCCAATGCAGAAGCACAAGACATTCGCTGTGGATGACCTTGCCAATACAGCAACCAAATTGTATTGAGGTTGTGAAATGTGAATTGACTGTTTTTTTTAAACACTCGAATTCTTCCACCACACCCTCAAGAGCACCAGTAAGGAGTGGTGGAATTAGTTCTGCTGCTGCTTCCTAGAGGGCACTCGGGGTTTTCGCAAAGTAGAGTTACTGTATGTGCTACCTTTAGGTAGCAGAGTTGCGCCAAGGTACGCCATCTTGGGTTCAAATGTCTTGCAGGAAAGCCACTCACCACCCGCGTAGGAGCAACCTTCGCACTTCAGATTACTAGCGTTGCTTTATTTTTCATTTCTCGTGTCCGTTCCTTTCTATTTTTTTTATGAAGGTATGAGAAAAACTCAGCTGCTCCGGTCACGCCTAGAAGCTTTGTTTTTTTGTTTACGTACTTGGTATGAAATAATGAAACAAAGGGTGTCGGCTCGTTGAACCAGTGAAGCATGTATTTACAGTAGGCCCCACATTAGCTTCATCCTCTTTTCCGGTGTTTTTCCCATTTACAGATATGAAATTATTTTTCAGTCTTGATTGCAATCGAGCCAGTTAGGGATGGAAGTTTTCCATTGCATTGGGCTTCTTCATTAACTGTGTGATTTAGCCAGCTAAAATTTTGTAGTCTTGAAATGAATTGAGCTGGATAGCGATCTAGAATGGCTACGCGACTCCCTCGATATGCGCGGCTTTCGTATTACTCTTGTATAACAATCACGGCTTACGACCGTTGATGTGAATCATTCTTCAACAGCCTGTTGTGTCCAACATTCTTTTCGCTTAAGGGTTGACAGCTGGATTAAATTCACAAACTAACAGCAACAGCTTGCCAATTTGAATAGTTCTAGTGTAACTTCTCCCTATATTTTTAGCGTTCCCCCCGTCAGACCAATTTGGACGTGTGCAGCAGACATGCGTATAACTTCTCCCTTTATTTTTAGCATTCTCCCGTCAGACCAATTTCTACGTGTGCAGCAGACACACGCTAACCATCTCTGCATGTATAACGTATTCACTACTGCCCCTGTGGATAATACAAACAGAGCAAGTTTCGCAGTGCCGTGGATAGATAAAAAGAAGCCAAGTGCATGGCAAGAGCAGAGGTGTGCAAAAAGGGCACTTGCACCCCTCAAGCCACAATGGCACTTGCCCTCACCCAAGCTAGACCAGTGCTTTCCCTAAGCCGCGATGCAACAATAGTCTGCAGCCCCCCCCCCGCCCCGGCCAAAAGAAAATCCCGCCAACGACCATGGTCATTCTTTCCTCGCTGAACCCAAATCTTCCTATAGCCCCACCCACTGCACCCGTGTCAAATAACATCGGCTGTTCGTAGTACATTTCAACAAAAAACGCACTTCTACCACATTTATCGCGACCAACAGGCAACATGGCTACAGTACCGAAAAAGCGTGGTGAGAATAACAACAGCCGATGTCAACCAGGCTTGATCTGCCCGGAATCTGTGAAGCATCAGCATCGTCTGCATAGTGTTGGCTTCTCTGCAGTGCAAATGGACCACCTATGACCACGTCATGGCACTCGGCGAATAGGGCCGCTGAACTCCTGCAGGCAGAGCGGGCGGCGCACGAAAAACGATGGTGCAACTTTGCTACCTAAAGGTAGCATATACAGTAACTCTATAGCACAGTGGCTTTACTGTATATGCGACCCTTAGGTAGCAGAGTTGCGCATAGGTCCGCCATCTTGCCCGCTGAGACGTCTATGTCATGCAGAAAATCCACCCCTTCCGAATGTAGGATCCGACGGAGTCCAGCAGCTCCGTGCGTTGTCTCGCTCGTTCATAACCCGCCGCTGGCGCAATGACTTTCGCTTCAAAAAAAAAAAAAAAAGAAAACTCGAATGAATAATGGTCTTAAATATTACTGATGCTATAGCTTGTTCAATGGCAGTCACCATAGAAAGACATTTTTGTTTTAAATCGCAAACAAGAAAGCCTTCACTTAATTTGTCAATAATCGTTTTTGCGACAACTCAAGTTCCGCGAATCGCTTGTCTCACATAGTTTTTCACCGCTTTAAACCATTAATCAGGTGGCTTGATAAAACAATCGCTAGGACTATCCCTCTATATTTTACAAATAACGCAAGCAGACGAGAATTTTTGGCATAGCTACACGTTCCTGTAGAATCTGGTCATCATGGCAACTACACAGCACTGAGTCACGACGCTGCGCCGCACAGATGTCACTAACACTGATGTTCACTAAAATGGACAACACAATGGTGCTGTCCATTTTTAGTGAACGTTCTTAGTGTACATTTTAGTGATAGTGTTTCAAGACACAATCACAACACCACACTCGGCGGGATCGCCTCTTCAGGCTGCTTGTGCAGCGGTGGTGGTAGTGCCAGTGGCGCGGCGGTTGCAAGCATCGACGCGACTGTAAGGTTGGCTTTCCCTAAAATGGACATTTTTTGTGCACGCGAGCACGCTCGGCGAATGAGGGCGCGAGCAGCGAGTTCTATTAGTGGCGCAACTCTGCTACCTAAAGGTAGAATATACAGTAACTCTATCGCACAGCTACCCGAAGAAATCGACGAGGTGTGCCAGCTCAGTTACAATCGAGAATTCTTTAAAAATTACATAATCAGGATCGTATCCAGAACTTACACACACAAGTGCTGTGCACAACTCAAATGCAGGAACGATCCAGATTAAAAAGGAGATATATGAATAGATAAATATTTCAATACGATTTACAAACTTATTAAGAAGAAGCTTAAGCGATCGAAAATTTTTCTATTGCACCAAATCAAATTTTCACGGGCAGTATCAATGTCACCTATCATGTCAAGGTTCAAGATGCTGTTGCGATTTCTTGTGGACTTGGCACAAATGCATTATCAAGACCATGTTACATTGCTCCACATAATGTTTACTTTTGTAATGTTATCTTCAAGGTAGAATGTACTTGCCTTAATTGCAGTATCCTGCGGATGTGACCCAAGACTAGAAAATCATTGGGCATGGCTACATTACCGCCCACTTTCCACATGTAGCCCGGTTGAATCCTCTCGCAAGCAGCAGCATATCAGCTGATGCCACATAGAAAGGGTACGCATTTCCAATTCGCCCAGTATTCAGTTCGTTCTAAAATAAGTGTCATATATTTCAATTCGGCTTAACTGTATAACAACAATATTTGTCGGGGTTTAACGCCGCGAAACCACCACATGATTATGAGAGAGGCCGTAGTGGAGGGCTACGGAAATTTCGACCGTTTGGTGTTCTTTAAAGTGCACCTGAAGCGAAGCACACGGGCCTCGAGCATTTTTCGCCGCCATCGAAAATGCGGCCGCGATTCGATCCCGCAGGTCAGCAGCCGAGAGCCGCTAGACCACCGTGGCGGGTAATTTACACTGTAGGGTATATCATGGATTGTTTTCTCTCTCTTTTCTTTCGGTGGAATAGTTGTTGCAACTTGTACGGCGTGCAGTGCTAACGCGCAATGTTCTTTTCCTACCCCAGAGCGCGCGATCTCCTTCACTCGATCTGTAACCACAGCTTTCATCGCAACTGCCCAAACCGAAATTAGAAGTTCTGCGCGCGATCTCCTCAACTCACATTTACATTGCTGCACATCTTGATGGCTTCGTTTCCTCCCATCGGATAGAGCTGCACGGGACTGTCCAGACCTTGTAATCGACACCGTCTGCACCACTCCACGACACGAGGCATCTGGGCCAGAAAGCAACATCATTAAACATGACGAAACAGGCCACAGTTGTCGGCACTCGCGCCAAAAGCTTGTAAGAAAACCGTTGTGCCATTTCGTCAATCTAGACACCCCCTGAACTCGTTATTTTCAACGACGAGAGCACGTAACCGGTAGCGTTCCGTATTTCAGTACATACACCAGTGTCGAGACTTTTTATCACGCGACCGGCTTAGGCGGTTACCTGGCGGACTCGCGACACAAAACTCGAGATACACACAGCCAAACGTCAAGAAAACAGTCAATGCGGTAACATTTCATTTATCCGAACAACGCGGGACCCTGAATCCCGGACACGTGCGTTTGTGACAACAAAGTTGGTTTACTTGCGACTGCTTTTCGTACCGACTTACCTTGCAGCCGTGTCTTGCGCTTACGCGCCAGCCAACTTCGTCTTGCCCACAACAGCTACCGTTATGAAGAATGGTGGTGATGAACGACAACACAAACGCAACTCAAACGTTGCGGTACCGGCAGCATGCCGGCAGCCGCGTGCGGCGTCTTGCGAAGGTGTGCGCATGGCGGCGCCACAAAACACCTATATTTATAGGCACCGTGCACATAGAGAAATAAAAAAAAGCTCCTTTTTCTATGCCGTGCACTCGAGTTTTCCCGTGTGACTGCAGCGCCAGAGCATAGAGCCTAGCGGAGAAAAAACGTAATAATAGGTTGAGATCAGTCAAAATGGAACACGATGCCCGCGTCTCACTGCCAGTGTGAGTGAGCGGATTGCCGCAGGGACGCGTGCGCGCGTCCGTTTTCTGCGTGCCCCTAACGGCCAACGTCAGCAGATTTAGAATGGGCTAGTTAGTGCCAACAACGCAGCTCCCTCTGATCAGCGCACGGTATAGAAAAACATACAATATAAAGAGTGGCCACTCGAGCCTACCGTTGTCAGAAAGGAAGGGGATTTGGCACCCGAAAAGCGCCGCGTCCCAGAGTACATATCACTCATCAACACCTCATGATCTGTGTTTTGGAGGACCAAATAAAAGTTTATCCAATCCAATCAACACCTCATCATGCAGTTACGTTCACCCCAGTAACGAGCCTCTTCGCGGCCCCGCAAGATAGGCTCTGACTAACCGCTAGATAGCACGCCAATGCCCGTTTTTACTTTTCTGTCCCGGCGTACAATAGCCGCCTCAGTAGGTCAATGAAAACATAAGTTTGGCATCAAATTTTCGCAAAGAAGAAAGTTTATTGATTAGTGCGATTTTCCACATCCACTTTACAACGTGTCCCACTGAGCACGTTTAATGCTTTACCACAAACATCAGTAAAGTTTCACTAAAAAGTGTTCTTTTTCTGCATTTATTTTGCACAAAGAATACAAATTTGTGTGGTTTAAATGTGCTGTATATGTATTCCTTTCGTGCACGGGTAGGTGTGCAGTCTAGTGGTAAAGACACTCGTTTTCGGAGTATGAGGGTACGGGTTCTAATACCAGCATCAGAAGAAGAAAACTTTGTTATTTTATTTATGCAAATACACGATACAGATACACGATAAGGACACGTGTCCTTCCTGTCTCTGTGTCATCGTTTTGTTCTCGTGCTATAACTATCGTCATGCCATACCAACTAGCCCAAGCCGCCACACTTCTAAGCCTATACGGCACTACGTGCTATACGGCGTCGCTAGCATCAAAAGATCTGAATCGTGCGAATTGTGATCCTAATCAACTTTATGCAAGCTGCAGAATGAAGGCAATCACAGATATGGGATTTGATCCTAATCAGGTTTAATCGCGATTGGCAATGCACTATGTGACGCCTGTGTTAAAAGAAGTTTGTTTGGCTTTAGGAAAAATGATCTTGGGCGTACCCATGAGCGAGTTTCATACAATTATTGATGGAACTCTACGCCAAAAGCGTGCCCACCAAAGGAAGGCGGCTGCAGCCGCCAACTTACAAGGGGCATGTAAACTCGGGAACATAAAAGTATAGTTATAACACAGAACACCTATACACTACCATGGTTATAGTGCATGTCTAGAAAATATATTTCTGGATACTGTAGTAAAAGCACCTTTACCCTGACATAGTCGAAAAATCGCCGGAGTTGGCCTTTAAGAAGATTGGTATTTTAGGCAAATTTTTTGTAGCTTAAATCACCGATACTCGTGTTATTTCGTCGGGAACAACTCTTTTAATTTATAATAAACGTAGCTCATAACAGATCAGCGCAACTTGCAAGTGAACACCAGTAAAGTGAACTATATAGAATATTCTAGTTCACTATAAGCACCACCAAAAAAGAGCACGTTTTCGACATCTTTGGTAGGCAAAAGCTGGCTTGATTCACTTTTGCTGGCAAGGCATTGCGGGAGCTTCCACTCCAGCGAGTGTTTTTTTTTTTTTTTATGTTTAGCCACGGAGGTGGGAAAGGAGGAAATGAATTGGTGGTGGTAGTGGTTAGAAGATGAGAAAATGCACCTAATTTCTGCAACCCGGTCGGGAGCACGGCGCAGTGCCTAATGAATTCCTTCCTCCGTGTGCAGTGTTTACAGTGTACAGTGTAAACACTGCACAGTGTACAGTGTTTACAGAGAGAGGGAACAGGAGGCGCGGGTAGAGGAGCAGAATGTTCAAATGATGAATTAGCTAGTCTTGTGGTCGATGCCCCTTGTTTCGAAGATATTAAGGCAAACGCTTTAAATGCCTCATCAAACCAGAAGATTGTCCTACGTACGTCCCACATCGGCGTCTACCATTGGCAGTGATTGTGACGTCACATGCAGATCGCCAAATTTGTGATGTCACTCTAGTATGACGGTATGTGATGACATTGCAACTTGATCAAAGGTTGGTCGACAAAGGTGGGCACGGGAGGGGAAGGGGCAGCTAGAGCCCCGTCGAAATTTTCGCCTCCCCCCCCTTCCGAGGGAACATATCATAACAAAATTGCTTTCTCCGCCTCCCTGCCCCCCCCCCCCCCTGAAGGAACTTACTTATTGTGGGTGCCCCCCCCCCCCCCTAGTAATATGATCCTGCATCCGCCCCTGTTGGTCGATTACGGATTTCTAAACCAGGTGGGTGACAACCTTCGATCCCGACGGCAATGGAAAACCACATTGAGTAAGTACAAAAAAGCTTTCAGAAGGCAGCAGGGCAGGATCAATGCATTGACTGAGAAAAAAAAATTATGACTACTTCGCCATCCAGTCATCTTAGGTGAGTGCATGTAGCGGACCCTTCGTTTTTTTTTTTTTTTTTTGTGCTCATAAAAGTGCAGTAAAAATTTTGCAAACTGTCCAGTTATCATCCTTCTAAGAAAGTCCTTGTTAACTCTAAGAGAAGTCCTTCTTAACAAAGAAGATTAAGAAATGTTGCACATTTTTGCAAAACGTGCAGTGTGCAACATGGGTTACGTGAGAATCAGGATCGGCATGCTGTGTGTTGCTAGCACTTTCCTCAATATTTCACGTCATCGCACCAGGGATGCTTCTATAGTCGGTTACAGCCTAAGAATAAATGTAAACTTCGCCCACAGAGTTCATCGTCCCACACAGGCAAAATTTGCATACATGTGTGTTTAGAAAAAGTGCTTAACGATTTGGAGTACTAGGTACTCTACTATGGGAGAGCATAAAGCAGTCCCGTTCGCGATGGATTACGTCCAACCTTGGACGAAACCTTGCCTCTGTGCAGCAAACCAATCACATGAGGCATTACTGAACTTCAGTCCGTTAATTGTGGGACGTCAGCCAGCCTTCACGGATTTCCGGTATACCACTTGTCCATACAGGCTCATGTTCATTTCGCTAGTTTTAGTTAGAAAAGTTTTGCTTCTTGGCAAATTTCATAAAAAATTCTGACATTAGTGCTGTGCGAAATGTAACATTCTAACAAGTAACGATGAACTTTTAATTTATAATATGCTGTTTGCATTGCCAATGAAAGTATGCTTATGGTTAGAACAAAAATTGTCAATCAGTCAGTGATCTGTTGCACAGATGAATGACAGGCACTGCAGACATCCTTTCGGCCCACAAGCAAGAAATTTGGCATTTCAGTTTCTAAGAGAAATGTTTTTTTTAATGTTCAAATCATAACCAAAAGCTACAGTCATTGCTCACAATTTGATCGTTAGCATTAAGCAGTTCGAACTGCAATCAAAGGCACTTTGTTCTTGACACAAAGTGCACTTTTGGAATGAATCATGCAAGGCCGAACTTCCAAGTTTGAAACATATTCGTGGAGAACTTTTCTTGGCAATGAAGCAATGGCTACCGATTCGAATTGCACAAACCCAACCACTAATGAATGTAGTTTTATAATTACATTTATGTTTTCTACATGAGAAATGAAGAAAAATCAATTTTGGGCAAAAACTTTTTTAAAACAGGATGAAGTTCACTCAAAAGGGATCATTACATTTTTTCAAGCTTAGATGCTGTCATTTCACATTTGTGCAAGCATGAAAAAGTTGCGCCTTTCACAAGTACCTCTCATGCTAAATGGCATCTGCGTCTTCTGGTGGCCATCCATCTCATTCTGGTTCTTCCGTCTACTCGCGTAAAAAAAAACTTGTCACGAACGTTACCTCATACGGTCATCTAAACTGACAAATGATACACTATGCAACACTCATTTTGTGAAACAAACACTTTCCACAGTTATATGAAATGCGTGCCATACCAGACTACATTGTATAGAAGTACATGTGCAGAAGCTCTGCCCCATAGTATTCCCTTCCTTGCCCAGAAAGGTTGTCTGCAACTATAACAATGATCAATTTAAACTTTCCACACCGATCCTATGATTTAACTACCTCTCTGCTGCATCATAAATAATAATTTGGAGAATACATGGCCAAAAATATACAGCAGGGCGTGTATTGCACACTAAGCACAGTTCATTCAGTTGGAATGCATTAAATCGCAGATTTTGCAGTGTATCTTGGTCTCAAAAAGGCTCCAAGCCATCATTTCAATAAAGTTTTGGTCCTTTCACTGCTCATACCAGCACCAAGTGAGGGGAAAAAAAGTGCATTAACAGTAACAGTGATGATGTTGCTATTAGAACATGCACACTTCATAGTAGAATGTCCTTATACTTGTGGGCTGCCATTCAAAGACTTGCCAAATGGCAAGGTTCTGAATGGCAGCCCACAAATGGCAGTTGTACTTGCATTGTTGTAATAGCATAAACTGCACACGAAGAAGACAAATAACTTGAATCAGTTGCCACATGAAAAGTCATTAAAGACCAGCAACCCAACAGGTACGTATGATCTTGTAGTAATAATTGTATGGGTTTGGCGTCCCAGAACCACCACATGATGAGAGACGCCCTACGCTATGCGCCCTACACTATAAGAGACGCCATAATGGAGGGCGCTGCAAATCTAAACCTACATTTAAGCACACGGGCACACGGGCCTCAAGCATTTTTTCCTACATGCGAAAATGCAGCTGCCGCGGCCAGGATTCAATCCCGCGATCTGGAAGTCAGCAGCTGACTGCCTTAGCTACTAGACCTACCATGGCGGGAATGTATTATCTTGAACACATATTGCCATGTGATGAGACTCACACAACCCGCTATTCATAAGTCATAGACATAGCTCATAAAACAGAGTCATGCATTATGGTGCTTGAATGCAGCGAAATGCAGGCTGGAACAGTGTAACACTCGACAACTGACAGTATGCCTCTTTTCACTAAATCTCAGTGCGACTGTTGAGGTTTAACATCCCAGAACCACAATGTGATTGAGTGATACTGCATTGACGGGCTCCGGAAATTTCAACAACCGGGATTCCTTAACGTGCACCTAAATCTAGTTGCACAGGCCTAAAAAATTTTCTTCTCCAAAGAAAATGTGGCTGCCATGGCTGGGATTAAATCCTGTGACCTTCAGGTCAACAGTCGAGCATTGTAACCACTAGACCACTGTGGCGGGTGCCTCTAAATTATGGCAGAGTGCAGGACACTTGACGGTCTCAATAGTCTGAAGCAGCTTTCCGCAGCAAGTCGAGAATATACTACTTTACTTTAGTGCACTTCTGAGCTGTACCACCCCTAGTAAAGCTTCGTGGGCACACGATGGGATGGCCATCGTACAAAGGACGTGCCAAGTTGGACATGGTGAAACCCTCACAGCACGATAGGTGGCTATGCCCGCGTTCTTAATTGGCAGGCTACCACAAGCACAGCAAAATAGGCTTTGCGCAAACTGTCCAAACTACAAATATGTTTATTTACACATAATGTTTATGAAATACAGCTCAATGATGAATTCACGTGCAAAATCAAAGACAGGAGGTGTGCTCCACAACACCAGTTGAAAGGATGCATATACATAGTTATATTACACTCTGACGAAATCAAGAAAGCATGATTGGAGAAATGTAAATGGTGTTGGGTCAGGCTTTAAAACAGATATCCACAATGGCATGTAATATATAGAATATATAGAAAAAAAGAAGGCGACAGTGTGGGCAAATTTGATCGACAGAAATATTTCTTTTCACATCACACACATACCAACACAACTTGTTTGCAACAAGAGCCATTAATTTGTCTACAGCAATTTGAAAGAAAGGTTAGGCAGTACGCAGGTTTTAAAACACACAACCGTTCCTATATACAACACACACTAAATTCCTGTTTGACTCGTACGATAACGCCTGAACGCACGTAATGAGACAATGCAGCTGATGTAGGTGCAGAGTGTTGCATGTTTGTGCACCATGATAAAGGAGAGGCACGATTACTGCAGGTGTTGCTCTATTGCAGATGTGTGCAATCCAATGCAGATACTTCGCATCAATACAGTCTGCTCTTCAAGTGCACACAATGAGGTAATAAAATTTGGATCAAATTAACTAATATACAAAGTTGTCTTCCATTTTTATTGATGAAGCTGCACTAGAACCAGATTTTTTTTTTTTTTTCTATGAATACGCGGGACAGTTTTTCGAGTATTTGCCAAATGACGAAACCTTGTTCAACCAATAGGGTTACATAAAGTTTCTTTCTGTGGTGTTCAAGAAAATATCAGAAGTGCTAAAAAAATTCAGTAATGCTTCCTCCTAGTTAAAAAAAAAAAACGTAAACGTCTTCGCAACAATGAACTGGCTACCTTGTTTATTGTGCGCATGCATAACACGTAAAGCCAATCATCATATTTAATGAAACAATATAGGAAGCAGGAGCAAATGAAAGAAAAAGAGGGAAGCACCAGTCACGGAGGTATGTGATTAAGCTATACACTATTAATTAAATATGTGGCAGCAGTGAATGCAATATTACAGGGAGGTTACAGGGTGAAAAAAAATCAACATAAAAAATATGGAGCCGTCTTACAACTGTCTAGCACGAATTGTATCAGAAACGCTTCTTATTAGGATTTCTTGTGCACTGTGTGGGCTGTCCTCGAAGAAAAGGAAACTTGAACATACGAACACAGAAGCCTGCACTCGTTATCCTAACTCTGTCGGGCCTTACAAACATCACACACCATTCGAAGAGTAGTAAGCACAGCTCCTACAATTGCTCTTGAGTTACTCATTGGGTATGCCCTTCAGCATAATAAAGCGTGGCTAGAAGACACATGCTGAGCGAGGATGTCAGACTGTACAAGATGATTCAGTACCGAAGGTATTGACTGTACAAAGCAGATCACGAGGAGCCTACAGCATCAAGGGACTCGAATTTTTTATGCATAACATCAACTGTGATCAAAATAAAATTGAAAAAAAGAAAGGGAAAAGGAAAAAGAGCTCCAAAGTTGCCTCTATTTAGCATGGTTGAAAACTCAACAACAATTGCTGGGGTTAATAGTGCGAAGCGTACAGCATGTATCAACTGTTCCTTCCCCCCCAACAAAGTTTTTTTGCCCCCGTACACAAGATACCGGTCCCTTATGTAGCCAACATTCATTACAAGTTTTTGAGCAGCGACTGTTCTTGAATATTGAAAAGCTAAAACCTATTAAATATGCTCAAGCCCAGTAATGTCATCTACTACGGAAGCAGTAAATTTTAACTGCTAGAACCGGCAAGCATTCCTTGTGGCATGATCTTGTATTTTGCGTTGTACAATGCAAAACCCGAGGCTCCCTGTGAACTTAACCGAATGTGACATAGAAGACTGATTATTGCCCACCTTCACATTAGCGCAGCACCATGTAAACAAAGCATCCAATTACATACGCTCTACATCTGATAGTCACAAATTTGACGTTTTCTTCTTGCACCAACAATGCATGTACCAAGGACGATAAAACTGCTCCAATGCAGTGCTTTGGCCCTTTGTAACTCATGCCTTCCTGCCGCAAGTTTCACAACTTTGAGAACAGTTTGAGGCGTCCGTGGCTACGATACACTGTTCATGAAGTCTGGAAAAACATTGTCACAGGTCAAGCCTGCTCTATGTGGCAGGTTATGCCACGTCTCCACAAGTCTTGCTAGGCCAGAAAGCATCGCTTCGTCACACCAAGCATGACTAGACCACCCAAAGTCAAGACAGCCTACAACTGCAGAACCTACGATTGTGAGTTTGCTGCAATAATGCTGCCTGCTGCAGAACTCGTGCACTTTACTGGTATACAAGTTGGAATGCAAAGTTGACTTGGAAACCTGTGTAAGTGATGCTCAAGAGAAACGAGGGTGCCTGGTGTGTGCTTAGCAGTCTTGGGACATTTAACGTTACTTGCGCTGATCGGAGCGACCCATGGTGCACATGCGACGTGACCTGTGGCTACTCAATGGGAAAACACAGACAGTGAAATGCAGAGCTGTTGTACGTTCAACATTCATTCTGTTCTCGATGAAACTGCCCTTCTTCCTCTCAGTCTTTCACCAAAGGCTCTCCCTGTTTTCAAGTAGGCAGTCATGTGCCACGAGCAAACAAGTGGCCGGTCAAACACTTTTAAAAGTTAAAAGAGACAGCTATTTTTCAGTGAGAGTTGACGCCCAGCCCACCCCTTCAGCCTGATGTGACAGTCACGAACCAACCGCTCGTTTGTCCCTAAACACGTCCACTTGCACAAGGAGACTGTCTTGCAGCACCAACGAGCATATGCAAAGATGCCTGTTACTGCACAGTCAGCTGTTGAATGACCTGCGCCTGGCGTGCTGCGGGCCGGTCATGGCGAATAATGACATGCCGGCGTAGCGCATAGCCATAGCAGGTGCGGTAGTCGCAGTGCGGACAGCATAGGTTGCGGTCGCCATGGGACTTGTAGTGCTCCTTGAGGTGGTGCTTCATGCCAAACTCCTTGGCGCAGACGGAGCAACTGAAACGTTCGGTGGACTGGCGGGAAGAACGCGGCCGCCGGCCCGAGCAGCGGCCTCCCGTCGCTGCCTGTTGGTCCTCCCCCTGACAGAGACCGCACTGCAACCGCTGGCGTTGGGCTTCAAGACACTCAGGGCAGTCTGGCACCGAGGGCAGCAGGTCCCCACTCCCCAGCAGAGCTGCTGGGTGGCTGCTGTTGCCACGACCGCCACCACCCTCGGCACTAGCTGTAAACAGAGAAAGAAATACCGTATTTACATTATTGTAAGCCGTATCCTTCCCCCGATAGCAAAGCAAAAAAATAAAAGGGAAACAATGGATGTGAACACATTTCATAAGTTCATTTACACAGTCGCAGGACACACTACGCATTTAATAACACCGTAGTCAGAGTCAGCACCTGTCCCATCGCACACTTCTCTATCCTATACTAATGAAAAGTAGCGACAGAATATTTTGAGTCGAAGCTTATCACCAACTAGCTCCACAACAAGTTTTGTAAAGTCAGGACAAAAAACGTGAATGCTAGTGTGCAAAGGAGGTCCCGTTTCCGTCTTTTACTTCGGGACCTCTTTACATAATCGCTAGGTAACCATTGTACTAATTACAATAAAACTGATTCTGATTCTGAAGGGTGGCCTCATAGCAGTGCTTCACAAGCTATGCAAAAAAGCTAGCTTTGCAATACATGGGAATTTTTTTTAGTTGTCACTTTCAAATGTAGTAGAAAATTTTCAACAAACATTTTTGATCCCATAGCCTCGCTGGCTAGTGTAAGGACTAAAAGTTAGAAGCAACACGTAACTCAGCAAAAAGAACAAACAATGACAAATGTAACATGTATATATTAGGGAAGTGTGGATATTCAAAATTTCGAGTTTTTTTAACAGTGTTTGCTATTCAATCCGCAGTCACATTTCACTATTCAAACTTTTCAAAGACAAATACAATCTAATAACAAATGATCCCTTCAGATTTTCAATAGGCTTCACCTTATTACATTTTCGTACAGCAGCAAAGCTGCCCTTATAACCCTTGTATTCAGAAATGCTGCTCGACTTGAACTTGACTTGCCATCGACTTCAATGCAACACAATCGTGTTTCGAACGTGCTGTCTTCAGGCGGTGCCAAGGCAGCGCAAACGCAAAGACGCGTGTCAAACACACTGCATTAAAGGAAATTTCAAGTCAAGTTCAAGTCAAGGAGCATTTCTGAATTCGGGGGTTAGGCTCCGCTGTGGTCGAACTTTTTAACCCTTTAAGCACTTTTATTCGAACTTTTTAACCCCTTAAGCACTTTTATTATTTTTTTCAATTTCCAATCAGAAATGCCTATTCTTTATTGCTGATTTCGAATCGGGTTGTATTAAAAAGCAGCTAGTCAATTGGAAGAAAGTACTTGTATCAATTACTTAGGCGAACAACCACAATAAAGTTTACTTCTGAATTATACGAAGGAAAGCAGCTGTCTTCTGCTAGTAAAAATATTGTTACGGAAAAGAAGAGACGCTGTATCAACGAGGCTGTACATTAGATGTATTTGAAACCAGTGGTAATGGTGTGACCAGTTCACCAGCGATCGAGCGGAGACAACCCTTCGTCTTCCTCATCAGGCACACACACGCGTCGCCCCCTAGAATCTCAGTATGCATGCATGTAGCAATATAAAACTTAAACTTATAAATAGAACAGTTCCAGATGCTACACCTTTCTTCACTTGTGTAGGCTATGTGTCCTGAGACTGTATCACTCGGGAAGATTCGAGACTGTGTGAAAAATACCTTAACATGGAATAACGCAAGCAACTTCACCGGCAAGGACTCATGATGTGCGCTTCTTAGCAGTCTTCATCATCACAGGAGGGGCTTTTAAATTCACCGTGCTGTCTCTATATCCGAACACAATACAAACACTCGGGGTATCCAAATCGGTATCCAAACCATCATCTCTCCAAGACGATGATGCAAATGAAAAGCTGCTTTTTCTTGTTCATGGGCCGTGTATGCATGGGTCACTGCCACTGCATGCCATCTTTCCATACAAAAACTGCACTCCTGTCGCAGGAGAGAGCTAAATCGTCGAGTAAATGCTGCCATCTAGTGCATGACACGGAATCTAAGCCATAGACGAGAGCTTCTTGTCCTGAACATTACAGGAGAGTTACTATTCCGCCAGGACGAGCTCTGCTCCTCCAAAGCACTTACAGGGTTAGCACAGTCAACGTTTAATTGAAAAAGGCTCTTTCAGAACTTGAAATGCTTCAACTCACCACACTCTCGCATTGTGGCAAAGCTACCTTTCAAGCTCGGCTCTGGTCGCAAATGTGTTACTCAAGAAAATGCTGGTTCCAACATGAAGATGATAGGTGTGGAAGAGATAGGGGCGCAATTACTGCCATGTTGGGCCTAAAATTTGGGCAAGAAGCTTGAAAGATCAGAAACCAAAGATTTTTAGCATTGAAAATTTCTGGTGTTCTTTTATATTGACATTCATGAGGCAGGTTGGGAATTCCGGACTCGAAAGGAGCACAACCTTTTCCGCCACATCAGTAAGGTTTCCACTGATGTTGAAAGAAGAGAGGCTTAGGAAATAGCATCTTCGCCTTTCACATCTAAAATGCTGACAGTAACACTTTGGTTGAACCAAATCATGTACATAAGTATGATTCGGCCTCTGCATTGCCTCATTCTTCATGAAACAAATATAGAACACGACCCTGATAAAGCTTTATCAACCAAAGCAAAAAAAAAACCTTTATGTTGCTATCTCATGAAAGTATGCTTGGGAATCCTCTTCAAATTTTTTTTCCCAGCAATTTTGCTTCGAAGTATTAGAACATTCTAAAAATATTCGAAAAACATTCGATTTGCACACACTTCAATCTTCGAATTTGCTTCTCACCCAAAATTTTGCTGTTGAAACAGCTCTACTATTTATGTTTCGCAGTTTCTAATATCACTGAAGCTTTTGCCTGCCAAGAGTAGTTGCAATACGCTACTTAAGGTAAGAATTTAATTGATTGAAGAAAAAGACAACCAGTGGTGCAGCCACTACTGCCATATTCAAACAGGAAGCACTCCTATTGACCAATGCAAATTTAAATTAATAGAAATAACTACAAAACTTTTTTTTCTTGAACCGAAAGTGGTGCTTTGTTTTTTCCCTCCTCCCCTAGTTGGTTATCACAATAGGCTGCATTGCTGCTGACGCATCCTTATGGAGTTTCTGAAGTCAACAAGCCACAGTGAAATTTCGCAAATAACTATTTTATCTCTTTTTGTGTGTGTGTGAGTGCGTGTGTGTGTCTGTGAGAGACTATATCTGCAATCAGTGTATATTTGTGTTCACTGCACATACCACAGTCAATACTTGAAGTAGCAAGCCAGGCCATAAACCAAGTTCACAACTATTACAGTAGAATCTTGTTGATACCCTGGCTCCTATGCTCGAAATCGCGAAAACTAGGAATGGCCCCCATAGCGCCTCGTGTTGATACGTTCCACTTAGTACGTTCCCCGAAAATACGACTATTCGGCAGCAACATTCAGCATTGCTGTAAACGGCAGTCGTATGATATGTTCCACGGGCGAACATTCTCATTCAGGTGTGGGAAAAAAAAAAAAAAACGCTCTAGTGTGCTAGTGAAGCGCCAAGTGCCAGAAGTGCCACCGTGAGGCAACGGCAGTTTTCTTGCTGCACTCAATTGCCACCCCTTCATCCACCGCGTCTTCTCCAAATTATGCTCAATCAGTCCCCTCCGCACTTTCTTCCGACTGCCGGTCGCCCTCTCCATCACTCCTGCAGCTGTCTGTGAGCCACAGAAAGATCCGTCTGAGCTGTCAGTCATCAAATAGGTTTTCAAAAAATGCCTTTTATTTTCTGTAGCACAGTAGTTTTCTTTCTCAGCTGGCACCTTGAGACGATTTTGCTGAGCACTGCAAAGCCTTCATCCGTAGCACGGTACACGAAAATGCGATCGCCCCACACTACAACAGCCGAGAGAACACTACGGAGCTAACTATCGCTTCAGCAAAAGACGCACGTGCAGCCTCCGCTACACAACGCGCCGCTGCATCTGCCTCCTTACCCGACCCCATCTCACGCGTTGCTGGCACCTGCCTGCATGTTCTTCCTTGAGAAAATTTACAAAGCCATGCGCATTTAAACATAGCCACGCACCTTTCAGCGGAAAAGATGCGAACGCGACGTGCCTACCTCCCCCACTACTCCCAATGCCATCAGCACGAAATGTGGGCTGCCGTGTTATCAGGGTGTCTGCAACTCTGCAGGGTAACCTCCACTAGGAAATGAGTACTGCTCAATGAGAGTTGTCGTCAGGCCCTCAGTGATGGTCGCTACTTCGAGGAGAAAAGAAAATTTAGGGATATGCAAGTCGAGCCCTGTGAGAGGCTGCACGTTGCTCAGTAGAGAAAGTTGCGTCCAGCAAGGCGGCGGGGAAGCGCAGGCCCTTGTTGATTAAGGTGAAGCTGAATATCCTTCGCCGGCAGCTTGCATCGGAGAATACAGAGTGCACTGTAGACAACCCAGTGACATGCGCATATGACGACGACATCGACGAGGAGTTCCTGCCCGCCGGCACCGGTGCACCCATCGCTGGGTTCACCTCAACAGACGACGTCATGGCTTGTGAGACACAAAGTGTCGCAAGATAGTAGCGGAGGTGGTGTGGGGAGATGCAGTGAAGGAGGTAGAGGAGTGAGGCACCGGAAAACAGCGGGTTTTCTGGATCGTACGTTTATCTTCCGCATTTTTTCAAGAATGTGTCAAGTCTTTACTGTATATCATTAAAATATGCATGTCAGTACTGTATAAGGCAGTACTTCCGTACGGTGCCCTTAGAAAAATAACTACAGTAAAAGGACAAAAAAAAAAAACACAAGAGGAGCCTATTTTTCAGGCATTGAACTCCTCATAACACCACCGAATGCAAAATTGCCACCAAAATAGCTAAAAATTTACACGAATCAAGTACTTTTGCGGAGAACCCTTACAGACGCTTCACACTTTTGGCTTTGCCTTCATTTTGACCATGAGTACTCAGGAAGCGGAGCTCACTCAGGAGAGCAAGTCACTTACTGGCAGCATGTAGCAGTGGAGGCCCATCTAGAGCACCGCAGGGCTGCGCGCCCGCAGCGGCTGCGAGGCCCTGGTCACGCATAGTCGGATACGAGGCTGCAAACATCTCGCCCAAGGGGTGGCAGGGACCCCCATCCAGGAATCCCTTTTGGCGGCCTCCACCAGTGGATGGGTGACTCCCCTTGCTGCCGCTGCTCCCTCCACCTCCATGATGGCCCTGAGGAGCGCCCATGCGGCGGCTCACCAAACCGCCACTCGTCTCCCCGCCAAAGTAAGGACTCTTGAAGGACGAGCTGGGGTCTTCGGGGTGCGGAGGGCGTGCCTGCATTGCAAAAAAATATTGGGCGGTCCTTGAGCTTAGCGTTCAAGAGTAGAGCGCAGTATCATTATCTGGTCCTGTTCTCATCGCCTCTTAATCAACAGCCCGGCTTCGGTTCCCGGGAATACCTCAAGCGCACCCAAAAGAAAGGAATGTCTGTGCACCACACATTGGCAATTTCAAAACATCCAAGAATGCCTATTGCATTACAGTTGCGAAGTGCGCACTACACCACTGTTTCATCTTTCGCAAACAAGAACTACCCACTATGAGCCCATAAGGCATCACGCACACCTGCACAGCTGTACACTTTGTTGGTGCTGTTGCGACTGATAATGATGACTAATTATGCCAATGCACTATGCAATGGGTGGACCTTTAAACTATTAACCTGCTGTTGAATTTACATGTCTTGATACCCAGAGCAATTTAACACTACTACGACGTAATATTACATGCATTAAGGGTACTTAGCTTACTTAATGAAGTAATTCACACGTAATAACAGACTATCTGCTACTGTCTCTAAAATTAAGTGTACAATTATTGCATGTTGCCAATTCCAGCACAGAGGGCTGCAACTTAACAAGAATAATAAAAAAAACTTGACAAAGTCAAAGACAGTGCAGAGAGCAACATAACAAAAAGTGCCAGGCCTGTCATTAAGGAGATCAGAATACAGTATAATTGATCAGAGAACTAACAGAAGAGCCAATATTCTAGTTAATTATGTGAAAAAAATGAACCTAATCTGGCCACATAATGTGTAAGACTGACAACCAGTGCTTAGTCAGAAAAACTAAATGGGTACAAAGTGACGAAAAAGGCATCAAAAGATGGCAGACATAAAATGGAATTGGCACGCACAAGATAGGGCAAATTGTAGATTATTGGAAGAGGTCTTCATACTACAGTGGAGATCAAGTTGGCTGAAAAAGAGCATGATAGTGTAAGTGAAATATTTAAAAGATTAAGAAAGAAAACGAAAGAAAAGCTATAGGTAGGGTAGACACCCATCTCATAACAGCCCATGCGTGCAGCTCCCACCAATCAAGATACCGCCACACTGCACAGCATAATCTAAGTACATGAGCTTACCTGCAGCAGGTTGTGGTAGCCAACAATGCGCTGCAGGTGACCATACAGGGCCGTGGCATCCCGCTTCTGGATGTCATGAGGCACCAGGCAGTTGCCTAAGGTGCTTGCTCCCTTTCCGTGCTGCTGAGAACTCGACTGCTGCGACTGTGAATGCGACGACGAAGACGAATGGTGGGCAGGCGCATGAGACTGCAGGGTGTGCCCAGAGATTTGTTGATGAGGTGGTGGGGGCAGTGCCAGTTGTGAAGAGGCCTGAGTAGAGATGGCCGGCGTTGAAGCCGGTGTGGAGGACGAAGACGATGACACGTCTAGGGCAACCGGCAGTTTGTCCCCGGAGCGCTTTACCAGGAGACGCGTCTTCTGCTGCTCTCGCTCGCGTTCCCGGAATGCTGGGTCTCGTCGCTTGAGCCTCATTCGCCTGCGCTGCCGCTCTCGTTCCATGGCCCTTCAAAACAAATGAAAATGCCAGGTTAGACACCAACAAATATTGCATGACATTAGAATGTTTGGTCACTTGACCGTTATAGGACGTAAGGTATAACATTACAGGAGCCGCCATTTTGTTGTACAGCCAATACAGTAAAAAGCTGCTCTTTATTCTGATCAGCTTGTCTCAGAAGCACAGTGGAAGTGGCAAACTGGACAACAAAATGGCATGTGTTGAAATCTCAGAAAGGTTGTCCAGAGAAGTTGCTGGAGTGCTGACTCTGTTCGCTGTAACCGATCGGCGGTACTCGCAGACGTTTGTTGTAAATGCGATTTTGTGCCATTGAAATAATGTATATTTCCATGGCCATGCGGGTACTGTTTGTTTTAAGCGAAAATTCGTAGTAAATAGGGCCATTACATGTGGGCTCGACTGTATACACAGTTCGAATTGAAAGCAATTAAAAATTTTCCTGTATGGTCATGCAAGCTTGTGGAGCTTTCCTGGAGGGACATCATGTTGCAGACAGTATGACAGTACCTTTTCTGTATGCAGGCAATTTTTCGTCAGTAGCTTATCATGGTGTTCATAATCTGCTACAGTTAAACCTAGATATAACGAAATTGATAAATTCTCGGGAAAATTCGTTATAAAAAGGTTTTCGTTAAATGCAGGTTCAGTACGAAAATCGGTAAATAAACGCGCAAATTAAACAAAAGGTGGTCTGAAGGCAGAGCTATCCCTAAACACTCATTTTACAGTAAAAAACTGCGACATTATTGCGACATTATTGCGACACTCTCGGCCGGTTCTTGCTGTCGCCGCAATGTTCCGCAACAAGTCCAAATTGACAACACGCCCCCGCGCATTGTAACTTTCACAAGCGGATAAAAGCATGCGAGCGCTGCTGAAGCAGAGATCAAATGAGTCTGCCCATCCCTATCGCCTGGAAAGTGCATAATATCTCCAGCACGTTGGAAGTGCCATCGAATGCTCAAACAGAAAGTAAACCCCCTATCCTAAACGAGCATGAAACAACGTGGAGAGGGGGAAGGGAATCGCTTGAGCAGCAATGATGAATGACTTTAAGGGCGGTCGCGATCGCTGGCGCGCTTGCTATCTTGGCGAGTATCAGTGCAGTTTCAACGCGAAGAGACTGTGTGAAAAGAGTAAACGTAATCGTTCCAGTCAAAGTCGAAGGTGCGCGATTCTCCCGTCCCCCCAAAGGATAATCACGCACGCACAAGCATCTCACCAACCTCTCCCCCCTCCGCATTCACAGGGCAAAGTACGCGTGGGAGATAAGCGCCTGTCGGCACATTGTGACGAACTGAGCGCCAAGCGCGGGCGGCTTTCCTTTTATTGAGTTTCGATATATATACACAGATACATATACATATACTATACATATACGGTGAATGAAGGCGGCGGCGGCAAAAACTCAGCCGAAACTGCCCATATACATAATTGCTATCGCAAAAAAAAAAAGCAAAACTGAGTGTTGTCGGGGGACACACACCATGCACGCGCAGTGAAACTATGCACGCACGCATGGCATCGAAAATGAAGAGCGAACGACACGGACACAGACAGGGTTACCGCGGAAACTATCCGGTAAAGCACCCTTCATATGCAGTGTGGCCCCACATATGTGAAGCTAACTGAAAGCGTGGCATTGCCAACGAGCAAAAGTAGTTTTTTTTTATTATTTTGGTTTGGGGGGGGGGGGGGGCACACCCTGCATGCAACTGCGGCAGCGAGAAAGGAGGCAACGCCGGTCCGTAGGGTGCAGGCCCGCCTGTCCCGCGTGCCCTTTGCCACCACCTCGCGCTTCGGCGGCGGCGGCGGAAGATGCATGCTCGTATTAAAATGCCGAAATGCGGAGCAAAATTCTAAGATTGTCTGTGCAAGGTTGTCTCCCGCAGTTACTTTGTTACAAAGAGGTCGCAAACAGATGTGCTCGTATGAAGTGACGGCGGGGAATAGAAAAAATTCGTTATATCGAGGAATTTGTTATATAAAAGTTCGTTTTATGCAGGTTTAACTGTAACTATTAATAGATGATCTTTCTTATTTAAACTTTGCCAAGGTATTATACTATTTTTCTGCTAGTGTTTACGCATATTCTTCTGCTACGGCTGCCCAAAAGTTACTAGCAATATCTGTAACGAATGAATGAGTAAGTAAAACCAAGTTTTTCTATGACGCTCAAGCAGTCCAAGCACAGACGTGTGGGCTCCACTACTTCGTCAAGACAAACACCATACGAACCTGAAACTCGGGTCCTGCCGTCGCAACTGCATGCGCGCACGCTGCCTCTCCCGTTCGAGAGCACGGAAGCCAGGGTCCTGCCGCTTGAGCTGCATCATGCTGCGCTGCCGCAGCCGCTCCATCTCCCGGTACGACGGGTTTTGACGCATTGCCTGCAACCGCTCACGCTGCAGCGCCTTTCTCAGCAGCGGGCTGTAAACAAAAGAGAGACAGATTGCATGGTTAAGCATGCTCCGAAAGAATTCCAAGACATGTTACTTGATGCAGCGGGTGGGTGCCAACAGACTTCGGCTCCATCACACGCAAAAGACCGTCGCCTTTGTCCCAAAAGGCTAGGGAAGGATAACTAATATTATCAGGGATTTTATGCTGTTAGAACAACAGTATGATTACGAGACACACCAATCTAGTAGAGGGCTCCTGAAATTTGGATTATCTGGCTTGGAATTAAGAAAAGGCTGGTGCCTGCATCATATGTTACTGTCTAGTCGATGCCAAGTGCTGGTAAAACCAAGAGTATATGCAAAAGCATACATATCACACTTGCCTGAAGAAGCAACTCAGCTGAAGGGATGGAGGAACTCAATGTCATTACATATTGTATTAAAAATACTATATGTAATGTATCATACTGTATGTATGATCAAACTATAGAAACTTGAGCAAAGTTCAGCTCAGCATTATACTAGCTCTCTAAAACAAAATACAGCCCAAAGGGTGCCAGGCCCCTAAGTGTATTAATTGGGGAATCAGATGGGAGAGAGTCACATCCCACTACCAAAAAAAAAAAAAGGAACCAAGTCCTCTAAGTAGGTGAATGCCAGTAAGAACTGTTTAAAATTAGTTCTTAAAAGGAGTACAGCCACAAACTTTAGAAATTTTTGTATTGTTGCAGACAAAAAAAAAAAAAAACAATGTTGTCTAGAACACTAAAAGAAGTATTGCAATGTATCAAAATGCACTCAATATATTTTAATACTGCTACATTTAAAGGAAAAGCTTACTTTAGATACTGAGGGGGCAGTTTCACAAAGATGTGTCAACACAACGGATGTTTGGGCAAGTCCGTGCCACACGAATGCACTTCATAATGTACTAGCAGCCAAGGTTTCTAGAACTAGAAGCATTTCTAGCAGCAGCTCAGTGGTGTCAGCCGCACACAGTGGTCACAAACAATGTTGGTTGAACTGGTGGTTGAAGAAATCAACTTGCTGCTAGCAGGGACACCACATAAAGGTCTGCTCCCTACCGCAACAAGTTGATTTTTCATTCACCTAATTTCTTTCCATTTACAGCTGACCCCCCCCCCCCTAGTAACGAATGGCCTAAAGAGTGAAATTCACACACTATCGAAAAAATTTGGCACTCCTGGCCAACGTTTGTAGAGTTAAATGCATTTGCCTCCTCTCGACAACGAAGAGATTTGAAAAAGCACTCCTGCTATAACGAAAGTTTCGGACAGTGATACGTAACAATTTTTTTTTCAACCACAACTTAGTTGTAATCAAGAAGTTTGAAAATAGCTGCACCGCTCAATAAATCGGGCACCTAAGTTTCCAACAAGCACCAGTGCGACCATGGCTGTTTACACTCAGTCGGATGATTATGATAGCAACAAGACTTCCTTTTTTAGCAGAGAACAATTTTTTGCTAAGGCCCCTGTAGGCAACTTCGTCGGCACATGAAATTTCGATTCTCCATCACGCACGAAAAATCCAGGGTCGACGCTGTTTTTTGAAAGTGTGCGCAAATAATATGAGAGTGACGGCTACAGTGAAGAAAGTAGCAAAAAGCTAGAAAGACAAGTAAGCTTTCGTAGAGTTCGTGATGCTTTTGGCATAATCCACATTTTTTTGGGCATCCACGATGACAACGAAGCTATGCAAGGCTCATTAAGCTGCAAGGCTTCAGCAATCATGCTCATCAAAGCAACAGGAAACAGAGAGAGATCAGCAACTTCTTTAAATGAATTTCGGTTGTGTGAAATAATTGCTCTGCATAAACAATAAACAGTCTATTTTACTGACTTCACTTTGCCACATGTTGTCCAATGCATGAAGCAAGAACTTTCAACACCCAATGTGCTTTCATTTGCAATTCATGATTCAGGCTTTCCCATTTGATTATATACGGGGTGACACGATTATATTTGACTTATTTAATTGGACTTTATTTGTATAACAAGGTATCAGACTTTACTGCTATTTATGGCAAAACATTCAGAGTGAAAAAAAATTATTGGCCTGTCCCATTTTTTTTATGTACAACTATTAAAAAAGGTATCAAATCCAGATAACTGCAAAATGCTACGATAAGAGAAGTGGCTTGCCCATATAAAACATAGTTAAAAGCTCTAATTGCCATGTGGCACACCAGAGGTGACTAGTAATTATTCCTACAGGCTATAAAGAATTATAGTCACTTAACTTATAGCAACTATAAAAATTACCCTCCCAAAATGTCAAACTGTTCCAACTTCAACAGTATGCAGTACCATTCGTATTAAATTTCGCAGAATGTTGTGGTTTTCGTTATTTCTTATTCTTTTTTTTTTCTTTCCACATGGCCAATAAAAAAGCGGAGAGGCCATTCCATCCTTAACCTTTCTGAATCTATCGCTGCAATCCAAACAAAAATTGGATGATTTGTAACAAAACCACAGTCCGATGAAACGGGTCAGTTCCACAAGAATCACCACATATAGAGATGTCCAACGGGCTTAACATACATAAAGATGCGAGTTACATGTCTGTAACTAACTGATTAAATTTTTTACACAGGCAAAATCTACAAAACCATTTTTCACAGCAACTTTGTCGATGACAAAAAAAACAGACCTAACCTAACCTAAAGGCAAGTACTCTTTTTTTACATAGCAGCAATTTGTTTCACAGGTGAAGGGGGTCAGAAAAAGAGCTAGAATGTTTGAGAAACCAAATATCTCCCCCACCCGAGGCACTTAGATTGTTTTCTCTCAGCAATAAGGTAGTCATAATTAACGATATAAAACTGGTAAATTATGCACCCAAGTTTTAAAACAAAGCTATGCAAAATACACCATTTGCTTATGAGATTCCAAACAGTCTAATAACATATTTACATGGGAAACTGTGGCCAAATTACCAGGTGAAAGTTTAAATCATTACTTACATATCTGGGATCAATGTTTAAGGTTTAACGGGATAACAATCTTGGAGAATTTTTTTGTGTGTGCTTAGGAAAAAGTTGATGAATAGACAGTAGGGCATGTGAGCATGGAAACATCTCTACAAAAACTCTTACAGTATTATTCACATATGTTACAATTATAATCTCGTATGCCCATTCGTATTGTGAACCTTGTATGCTGCCAATGTCAGGGCATTCGAGGACCAAGTCGAGCTTCCTAGAGCAGCTTATAGCCCTGGAGACCATCCAGAATTTTCTGGTAAAATAAAACATTGGCTGATTGACACTAGAAGAATAACTGTTTCACGGTCAATCTTTACGAATTAGCCCAACTTTCCATATTTACTAGAAAGGTATTTTTCTCTCCTTTTTTTATCATATATTGTCTGAGGTCCTTCCCCACTGAATGGTTTGAAATATAAGCCACGAAAAAGCTTGATAGCCTAGAGATTTCATTTTGTACATATTGTGCCAGCATGAAAAGCAACATTTGCAGGGTCACTTTTCCTTTCTTCAGTGTTGAAGTGAAAACCATGGAACATTATCATGAAACTGTGATGCAAGTATCTGCGAGAAAGTCTTCGCAGGGCCTATACTTTGTTATGCACAGTCGACCCCCCCATATGTGACTGCATGACACGTGTGGCGCATCTAAGTACTCCATGATAAACACTCACAAAAGGAAACTAGAACTTTCCTTGTTTCATTTTCAAGTACACCTGGTGTGCGCCCAATATTTTGACCCTTCTTACAAGCAGAGCGAGCAGCGAGGTAGAATGTCAAGATAACAAATGTTCGGGGCGACTGTTTTCATATGTAATGAAGCCATGTAATGGCATTAATATTGATACATAACAGCCGCTAAACACGGCTGTGTGAAAGAGGAAGACGAAGTGAGTTTTCGTTTGATGCTGGACTGGCGCCATCTTGTTCGTTGAGTTCTGTGTGCTGTAAATAGATTATTAAACAAGTTATTCGTAACATTATTGATGGAGGAGCGGGGTATCGAGCCCCGTAACATTATTGGTGGAGGTACCTGTACCTCGATGGAGACGCGCAGCAGTCGCACCATCGGCGACCTTTCGACTGCTGGTACCTCCTCTACGCCGCCCTCATCAGTCCAAGCCACCACCTACGTTCCACTCCCGCACCTATGGGATCCCGGCACTTTCTCCGGTGATGGTACGATAGGTCTTGACACTTGGCTGAACCGGTATGAGGGCATCAGTGCTACTCATCGCTGGGATCCCACGCTCATGCTCGCCAACGTGCTTTTCTACCTGGACGGCACTCCCCGAACATGGGTTGAAAGCCACGAAGCCGACATAACGAGCTGGGATCTCTTCAAAGAAAAGATACGCGACCTGTTTGGCGATTTATATGGTCGTCAGCTCGCTGCGAAGAAGACTCTTGCCACACGGGCCCAGTCTTCTATCGAATCCTACGTCTCCTACATTCTTGACGTCTTGGCCCTTTGTTCTAAGGCCGACCAGTGCATGTCGGAAGACGAAAAGCTTAACCACGTCTTGAAAGGCATTGCTGACGATGCTTTCATCCTGCTAATTTTTAACGTCTCAAGCACCGACACCATCCTTAAAGAATGCCGACGTCTCGAACAAGCTAAAGCCCGCCGCGTAGCCCAAAGCGTCGTGCGCCTTCCGAACACAGCGGCCACTTCTTCGTGTGACGCCTTCCACCAGGTCCCTCGATGTGACAACCTTACACGCATCATTCGTCGAGAGGTCGAGGCAGCGCAACCGGTAGCCACACCATTACCGACGCCTGCGCCTTCCCCGACCACGATCTCTTTGATACAAGCCGTCGTTCGTCAAGAGCTATCGAATGTCAGCCTACATCCTGTTTTTGCCGTATGCTCTGATGAGCCTTCTTATCATCCCCCTTCTGCTCCTCGCATACAACGCAATCCGTCCGAATGGCGTACTCTTGACGACAGGCCCATATGTTTTAACTGTCGACGCGTTGGTCATACCGCTCGTCACTGCCGCAGCCGCTGGGCCCCACCGCCTCATTATGCACCTCAGTATTACGCCACTTCTGTTCGCCAGTCGTCCCCATCACTTTCTCAAGCAACTCCGACCACAGTTTCCGCTCCTGCAGCACCTCTGAGCAGACCTCGCTACGACCGGTCACCGTCCCCTGCTCGTCGTCAGTCCCGGTCGCCCCCACAACGCCGTGCTGCCTCCCCGACCTATTCGCAGCACCTCCGCCCGGAAAACTAGGCCGTGCAGCTTCTGGATGTGGACTTGCGTTGACGACCTTCGTAAGAAATCCTCGCTTAACGTTAACGATGAACCTGCAATGTCTCTGCAATGCACCAGCCACATTTTAAAGAATGATGGACTGATTGCTCCAAGGTTTGAAATGGTCCACCTGCTTGTGTTACCTTGACGATGCTATTGTCTTTTCCCCCACAATCGACTCGCATCTCGATCGTTTGTCAGCTATTCTGGATGTTTTTCGTCGAGCAGGACTTCAGCTTAACGCCCCCAAGTGCCACTTCGCTCGTCATCAAATTTCCGTGCTCAGTCACCTAGTCGATGTGCAAGGCGTGCGTCCAGACCCACAGAAAATTCGTGCAGTTACGAACTTTCCCGTTCTGAGGACCACAAAGGATGTCCGCAGTTTTGTGGGGTTGTGCTCATATTTCAGACGTTTTGTTAAGGACTTTGCGACCATTGCGCGCCCCCTCACAGACCTCTTGAAGAAAGACGCCTCGTTTATCTGGGGCCATGACCAAGCGTCATCGCTTTCGCAACTTACGAAACTGCTTACAACGCCACCTATCTTGGCTCACTTTGATCCATTAGCCCCTACCGAGGTTCACCCGGATGCCAGTAGACACGGCATAGGAGCTGTGCTATTGCAGCAGCAACAACGGGGACACGACCGTGTTATAGCCTACGCAAGTCGACTGCTATCTCCAGCCGAGCGCAACTATTCCATCACGGAGCGCGAGTGCCTCTTCCATGTATGGGCAGCTGCCAAGTTTCGTCCATACCTGTATGGGCGCTCATTCCGTGTTGTCACGGATCATCACGCGCTCTGCTGGCTAGCCTCCCTGAAGGACCCCACGGGACGTCTCACTTGTTGGACCCTACGTCTTCAAGAATACACGTTCTCTGTAATGTACAAAACAGGGCGATTACATCAGGATGTCGATTGTTTATCCCGCTACCCTGTTGACGAAGCAACCGAAACTGACGCTATCACGGACGTTTTTTCCGTGTCGCAGCTGTTGAACATTGGCGAAGAGCAACGTTGGGATGCTTCTTTACGAGCCATCATTGGCAAACTGGAGTCAACGCCTCGCGACCCGTCCCTACGAATGTTTTTGGTGAGACGGGATCCTATATCGCCGTAACCTTGATTCCTTCGGATCAGACTTACTTCCTGTCATCCCAGCTCACCTGCATTCCACTGTTTTGCATCAACTTCATGACGCTTCCATGATGGGCCATTTGGCCGTTTCTCGGACATACGATCGGGTACGACGTCGGTTTTTTTGGCCTGGACTTGCCCGCTCTGTTCGACGCTATATCGCCGCTTGTGAGCCCTGTCAGCATCGCAAAACGCCGTCTGCCTTCCCAGCCGGCTACCTTCAGCTGATTGACGTTCCCAATGAACCTTTTTTTTTTTTTAGTTGGTCTCGACCTGTTGGGCCCTTTTCCACTCTCCACAGCCGGAAATAAATGGATTGCGGTTGCCACAGACAACGCGACGCGGTATGCAATCACACGAGCACTCCCAACCAGTTGTGCTACCGACGCTGTGGACTTTCTGCTGTACGACATAATATTAGTGCACGGTGCTCCCAGCCAACTTATCACCGACCCTGGCCACACGTTCTCATCAGCTGTCGTTCATGAAATCCTGAGGTCTTGCCATACCAAGCACAAATTTACTACTTTGTACCATCACCAGTCAAATGGCCTCACGGAGCGCCTTAACAGGACCCTAACCGATATGCTTGCCAAATACGTTGCGCCAGACCACCAGGATTGGGACATTCATTTGCCGTATGTGACGTTCCCCTACAATTCATCTCATCACAACACTGCCGGCTATTCGCCCTTCTATCTCCTATATAGCCGGAATCCCAACTCTACCCTTAGACACTTTGCTACCTGCGGCCACTGAATATGCCGGGGAAACCATCGCCCGCACCGACAACGCGCGTCAAGTCGCCCGTAATTGTCTACAGGCTTCGCTAGGCGCACCAACAACAACTCTACAATTCTCACCATAGGGACGTGCACTTTTCCCCGGGTTCTCTCAGGGCTCCTCTGGTCACCTACTCCGCGTGTGGGACTGTCTGAAAAACTGTCGTCGCCCTACACTGGACCATTCCGTATCGTTCGCCAAGTGACAGACGTCATGTACGAGATTGTTCCGAACCGATCCTAACAAAGTCATCGTCAGCTCCGAGCGACACCGCTTACGTGGCTCGGCTAAAGCCCTATTACCCCCCTTCGACATCATCTCCGTAGATTTAGCACCGGGACGGTGCTTCTACCGCCGGGGGTTATGATACATAACAGCCACTAAACACGGCTGCGTGAAAGAGGAGGACGAAGTGAGTTTTCGTTTGAGGCTGGACTGGCGCCATCTTGCTCGTCGAGTTCTGTGCGCTGTAATAGATTATTAAACAAGTTACTCGTAACAATATTATTACTGCATTGTAGGTTGCTATAGAATGAATAGGTGAGCTACTTTGGCTCTAGATATTTAGCACAGTACCTGGCATGCAAGAAAGACGACAAAGAGTTTATGCCATACTTTCTTTGTCTCTATACTAAAAAAAAAAAGTAGGGAGCTACTTATTCAGATTCAGCTCAAAGTACCCAAACCTTTCACACTACAAGTCACAAGAGCACAGTTCAAACATAGCTAAAGGCAGTTGCAGCTAACTATGAGCTTCATCAACGAACAACTTCTTGCCTTCGTGCCAGCTACATGTACCTGCAAAGGTTGCAGTCCCACTGCTTGGTTGTGAGGTCTATATCTTTGGGCAGGTTCGAGATCTTTTCAATTGCCGTGGAAAGGGCAAACTGCTGTTGTTGCTGCTGCTGTTGTTGTTGTTGCTGCTGTTGTTGTTGTTGTTGCTGCTGCTGTTGTTGCTGCTGCTGATGTTGCTGCTGCTGTTGTTGTTGCTGCTGCTGTTGCGGCTGCTGCTGCTGCTGTGGCGACGCAGCATCGTTACTGAGGAATAGCTCTCTCGTCTCCAGGTTCATCATGAGCGAGCCCGATTTGTCGGTTTCCACGGTTATCGGACTAACATCTTCCTTCAAAATCGTCTCCACCGGCACGAAGCTCGGAAGATCACCTGGAAATAAAAAAAAAAAATAGGGAAGAAACGATCGAGCGGGCGAGGCCAGTCACCGACGAGCAGCAATTATGAAGCCGCGCGACCGCGAATACCAATAGCTGGAATGCCCCGAAATGCGTGCCAGTTGTCTACGTTACGAACGCGTCGAGCAAATGAAAATACGAACTCGACTGGCGCACTTCACGGACGTCAAGAGCGTGCGCAGTTTCGCGCAGGTGAGGGGGCTTGCGAGTTCGCGCTCCAAGCGAAAACACCTGGAAAGTAGTGCGGGGGTTCAAATCGCGATGCAGTTTTCTCGAGACACCACGAAACGTTAACCAGAAAGCTCAAAACGTGTACCCGCTGCTCTCAACGACTAAGCGACGCAAATGTTAATGGGATGGCAAGTAAAGCGGCAACAACACGGATGTACCAACTAGTCACGCGAACCTCTCTGGTCGAATGGAAGGACGCTGACTTACCATTCAGAGGCCTGTCGCCCTCCATGCTAGCGTGGGAGATCATACGAATCCCCTTGCACTGAACGAGTGAAGGATCCTCGGCGGGCCTCTGATGAGCGGACTGACAGCAATAAGAGAAACGCGATTCGCTTAAACTCTCGAATAACAATGCAGACAGCAACAATCACGAACACCCTCCATGGAGGCGACTTGTTGATTTTTGTTTGTTTGTATGTGCTTGCGCCCTGCGTGCGTGCGTGCGTTGCGTGAGAAGCGAAGAGCGGCGTCTGGCGGATTGTTTGGGTTACTCAATATCTTTCGTATTTAAAGCCACTGTATCAGGCAAAAATACGCAAGACTGGTTGACATTGTCACGAGTTTACTAGAGCAGGAAGGCTCGCGCTTAAGGAGGAAGGAATCACGCTGGACTTGAAACCAGAAACGCCCACACTTAAAAAATCTCTTGCTTTACAATCGTATTTCACGTCATGCGAAAAAAGTGCTCAATTTTAATTGCTTTGCTGACCATTCGAGTGCTTAGTTTAATTTCTTTACTTATTTAAGAAGAAATTTGCGCATAAAAGAAGCGAAATGCGACACTGATGCCTAAGAAGAGACGGCTCTTTCACTCGCTTCCATGACAACCGACGACGCCGTCGAGCCGGTATTTGTTGTCATGGTGGTTCCGAACTCGGCGAAGCTTGCGATGCCCTCTCGTTATGAATCCCAGTCCGTCATCGCTTCCCACTTGTGTTAAAATTCTGGTCACTCGCATATGCTGATCACATGGGAGCCATGGCGTTTACCCCTCGCCTCTCACAACCATTCTGCGGACTGCTCTGCAATCTCTGATTAAGTTGCTCTATGGCTCACATAAATGTTTTTTAGCTATTCTCCAGGTGCGTATTATCATTTATTAGCGTCGACTTTCATTATATAATCATAACATTTTTTAAGAAGTCAGTGGTGCATTTGGAGTTGGAAGAAAAAGACGTCGTCTCATATCTCGTGCGCCCCGCTGATGGGGGATGAACAAGAACAAGATTATGTGCGCCACAGTTAATGGCGAACAAGATGTTTTGTTGCGCACGGTAAAAAGGTGTCGCAGCGCGAATCAATCGTACGTCCTTGCGTTTGCGTCGCAGCGCTACGGCATGACGCAGTCAATAGTCGTGCAAGGTGAGTTCATTCTGTCTCTAAAAACTACACCAGCGATACAGTAGTGGAGCAGGTTGGGACTTCATAACGTCCCTTTCACAATCTGTCTACTAAAAAAAAAAAAAATCTTTCTCCTGCAGAAATTCCATCATATGCAGCGTTGTGCTTGTGCTGAAACAAACCCCTTATCTTTGTTTTACAGTCGGACAGTGCGGGAATCAGATCGGCTGTCGTTTCTGGGACCTAGTGCTCCGCGAACACATGCTGCTCGAAGATCGAAGTGTAAGAAATCGCTCCGCTATCGCACGAGTAAAATAAGACATGAACGAATGTGTCATTTAGCGTTTGACTCCGGTGTCGCACGGCCACGTTCGATTTCGATCGGGTCCGATCAGGGTCGAATTTCTTCGTCGTTGTTGGCTCCTTTACTCAAGCTGCAGAAGGAGGCCAATCGCTGTGGCGAAATGTGATCCAGATCGAGCATAACCGTGATGGGCAGCGCACTATGCGATACTGAGCTTTGAAAACATGAGCTAGACAAACAATAAAATGACTCTGCGCAGTTGCGGTGACTGTTCAATATTAAAATAATGTTTCCCAGAACACTTGGCCGATATGTCAAGCTACTTCTAAAATGTAGTGTAGTTCCAACTTAAATGCAACAATCATGTAGTCTGACGGCTTTGAATTGTAATCGTACTTGTCGCGTTTTTGCAGACCACCGACATGGCCGTATGGAATTTTTTTCGCATGGCACAGAACGGCAAAGATGAGCTGAGGGCCAGGGTAAGTTGGAATGACGTCCACTTCAAGAACAAGACACATGTGACATTTAATTCTGTCTTGCGGATTTAGCTATGGCACCATCTTAAAACTATAGAAAAAAATGAAGAGGAGGGACTGCCGTATTTTCCACTGATTTGATTTCTGATGCACCACCCAAATATATACTTTCCAAATATGCACACACAAGAATGTAGCACGTGAACACTCGCTACCTTATAAACGGATCATGTAAAGATATGGAAGGAGCATGAAAACTTTTTTTTCTGATATACGTGCAAGCAGCTCTTGACCTGATGCTTCCCTGTTTCTTCCTATTGTGCATGTGTTCTGAAACATCAATACCGAGCTTAACAAAGCATATTTTCAAAGAGCTATGAAGTTGTGTGACCATGAGCTTGACCACGCTGTGCTTTTGCTGTTTTCTTTTCCCTTCAACAACAAAAGGCGGTGATGGTAGACATGGAGGAAGGGGTGATTAACTCCATTCGGCGAACGCGTCTTGGAGGCATGCTGAGCAACCACCAGTTTGTGACAGACGTCTCTGGCTCCGGGAACAACTGGTGAGAAAACTCGGGCTGAATCTTTTGATGTCTCATCGTGTCGCATCAGAAGAGTCGGATCACAGTGTTCTGTTCCTGGCTGTAACGATGGCATTCCAACAGAAATGTGAAAATGATCGCACATTTAAATTTGGGTGTGCAGTAGAAGACTGCGTGGCTGGAAGTAGTGCTAAGTTTTCCACTATAGCACATCTCGTAACCCTAGCAGAATTTTGGACCACTGAGAATTATAATAAGAAAATGTCATGATCGTTGTACAGCCAGCATCGGCATAACACTCGTAAGTGTCGATGTGTAAAAAAACTAGGAAAAATTGTGATTCTGCAGCTCCTGGCACACAGCGTCCAGAGAAATTTTAGCACTAAGTACTAAATTTAAAAAAAAGCTGCTGCTTCCAACCCGCAGTTGTACTTAAAAAAGAAAGTACTTTAATTGCGAGAATACATTATTTCTCCCACAAAAAGCAATGATATGCAAATTTTTTGCATATTGAAGCTCAACTTTGTTTTAGCTACCGATGCTGATACTTTAATATGAAACTAATATGGCCCACAGAAGTGCATTTAAGCAGGCCTTACTACTTAGAAAAGGCACTCTCAGCATATTTTTTTCTTCGGAGTAGGGGGATATTGAGCATTGGGGGGGGGGGGGGGGGCGAGGTTGTAAATTTTACTACCTCATAGAAGCATTTGTGTACTAACCTGCCATGCTAGATTTAGTGGTTATCGCACTGCCCCGCTAAATCTATGGGTTCAATTTCAGCAACAGCAGCTGCATTTCCAGGAGTGCAAAACTGTAATGCTAGTGCACCTACGTTTAAAACTCTGTGAGTGCAAAATAATCTGGAGCCTTCTGCTACGATAGGCCTCATAATCACATTATGGTTTTGATGTGTAAAACACCAGCACTTAAAGTGGAAGTACTATTTGTGCAATAAGAATTGTGTTAAGGATGTTTAACATTCAAGTTTAGCATTACACAAAGGCATCATCCTTACTCTTAACATTGATCTTTCAGGGCTGTTGGCTTTCACGAGTATGGCACAAAATATCGAGAAAAAATTGCAGAACACATCAGGAAGGAAGCCGAACATTGTAGTTGTCTACAGACGTTTTTTCTCCTTCACTCGTTAGGTGGTGGTAAGTACCTTTCACGTGCGCTCTTCGTGGGTGCCTGGTGTGCTGATAGAATAAGGTGCGTTCATGTTATTCAATCTGTAAAACATTTTACTGCTATCTGTGATGCCCATTTAGACACCTATGTATATCCTGGCTGATGGCTAACCTCATTCATCTCTCTGTAGTAGTATTTTGCTTCTGCAAGGCAAGGGCAACATACAAATGTGATCATGGTTTCCCCTTATTGGTGGATGAACCAAGAAAGCGAATGTGCCTATTGCTGTGTTGAATAACTTAAACGAAATACCATTCCACTTGAATCATTTAAATTAATACAAGGGAGCAATAACTGTTAATTCTTATTTTGAAGGGCCAGTAAACGGGCTCCAACATTTTTTTCACACCCCCAAACAAGCTCGCCAATGCTTACAGTAGACCATGGCAATCACATTTCCTAAATATTGCAGCACTGCGTGCCATGCAGGCCCTCCATTTCGAAAAACAACTCCTGCGTTTCTGTCTCACCAATCCCCCTCGTACGCGCAGTGACGCAAGCTTGACTATGGGCAACTTGACGTGCCACTGAGCCCGTAGATTAAGCCTTGGCCCAACGAAATAGTACCTCGGCCCTGCGATGATTCAGTTTTCATAGAGTTTTTTATATCTCCACTAGAGGGAACTGTGGCGTTAGTGTCTATGGGAGCTGCAACACAAGGCGCTTTAGCCAGCTTGGGAATGATGGGTAGTGCACGGATTTGTCTAATTTTCGTACGTCTGGCTTTGTGTGTGCTCGTCTGGCTTGGAGCTGTTTTCTCACCAAACAAAAATCAGCAAATGTTCAGCGGTTGTGCTTAACCACCTCATTCCTTTAGGCTTACCTTTTCAAATCGGGTCACGAAGTTTAAAAGGGTTCACTCTTTTTTCCGAAACAAAACCGAAACACACCAATAAATGAAGCCACAAGTACGATTCGCTGCCCGCAGGTGCGAAAACTAGGCAAATTCGTGTACTACCCTACCCATCATTCCCTTGGTCGCTGGATGATCATAGTGCCAGAGTCGCCTCTAGTTAATTTTATAGAACTCTATAGCAGTTTTGGCTGCACAGTCTGCTTTTTTATTTTCCTGTGCTGTCTCTGTCGTTTTATAGAGCCTGATACTACCGAAAGAAGCGGTATTGCTAGAACAAAAGCCTCCGAGATAAAGAGGCATCTGGCTACTTTGCGGCTAAGGGAAGGGTGCCCCTTCCACCGCACTTCCTCCTCGTGCCACAATGGCGTGTGCTCATGTCGGGGATACCCTGCTCGGTCGTTGGCTGCACGCCACTGATGTATCTGTGATGTCGTGTCACGCTGCGGAACCGGGCGGAGTCACGACGACGGGCAATGCCCTTTGGCAGAGAAGGGTAGCGAGGTCGCGTGAAAATTTGAAACAGATGTTCTAACCCCTGTAACTTCCTTATTATAGCGCGTATTCACAAAATTCTTGTGCCAGCATGTTCACATAGCAATAGTGCTCATATTTCTCTTCATAACAAATTTTGGACCTTGGGGGTTGTTCCCTTTAAAGTTGGAGCAAACACATCAGTGTACATGACAAGTTTGATCATGTGCAAAAGCATGTTAAAGTGTTTTGTTTGTATTTATATCACCAATAAATTATGTTTTCGGAGGTTGGCATTGGTCAGTGAAAATTTATGGCATCCAACAAATGTACAGTTCTCATCTGAGCCTCTCTCCTAGGATTCTATAAACTTGTGTTGTGGTGCGATGAGGTTTTTTTGTTTTTCCAGGTACTGGTTCTGGCTTGGGAACTGCTGTTCTAGAAATGCTGAGTGAAGAATTTCCTAAGGTCTTTAGGTATGAAACTGCTTAACATGATGAATCTTAGTTCAGTTGTGCTCATCAAGTCTCTCACTTTTAGGCTTTTGATCACGCGTGATATTGCAGATGTCAGCAACGTAATAGCACCAGAGAAAGCATGTTATAAGTGCTTTGTATTAGAATGCTTATTATTTTCATGACATGGTAGTAATACAAAACAACGGAAAGCTCATTCTTGTCATTACGATGCTTATAAATCAGCGAGCTGCTCAAAGAATTGCTTATTTTGTTTTGTCTCACTTATTTTTATTTTGGTTTTCTTGCATTAACATGTGTCAGTAATGTGCTCATACACGCTTTTTGAACCAGATTCTGTGTACCGGTGCTCCCCTCTGCTGTGGACGATGTTGTGACGTCGCCATATAACACAGTATTTGCCCTCGAGAAAATTGCAAGTTTCGCAGATTTTTCCTGTCCAGCCGAAAATGAGGCAAGTTAAGGATTTGAATTTAACTACTAACTTAGGGATAAAAAGGTGTTTGCAAAAAGTGTGCCTGTCATAATTTATGACATTTCATGATTGTGCCTCTGCTTGAATTCAGTTAAAACTTGTGGTTAAATAAAATTTGGTAACCGTGTAGCTTTTTCACGCTCTTGTCTATCTGTGGATAATGCTAAATTGTGTGTGATGGTTTAATATTGTGCCCTAATACTCAGTTTTGCAATGTAAACGAATTGTTCAAGCAAATCATAATATGACAACTTAGTACCCATTCTTGACACCAATGCCTGACAAGAAAAATTCCTGATTTTACTCGGTAGATTCTACTTCCGTAACTGGAGAAGTTTTTAGGCTAGGAAAAAAATGTTAATTTTTTTCCTAACCCAATATTAAATTTTTATTTAAAAATACCCTCTGGATGTTAATTGCTGAACATTTCTTATTCAGCTTGTAAGAGTTTATTGCTGCAATCGTCCTGTCTACTTCATTCTCATGTCTCGTTTTTTGCACAGTTATAATTTTTCTGGATGTCTTGCTAACTAGCCCCTCTTCATACACTTCTTGAGTTTAGACCTTGTCAAAGCACATTGTGTTATCTAGTGCCGCTGAACAACAAAAATAAGCACTGGCATTCTTCTTCTTGGCTGAGAGGATTTAATGATGTGAAATTTTTATATCCTAAAATAACTTGTATTTTAGCACAATTTTCCCCTTATTAGGCTATTTCGCTTTATAATGGACATTTTATCACATTCATGTTGAAGGTATTAGATCATGCACTAAAGCCTGTGCCGTGGTTTATTGCAGGCACTGATTAGCATCTGTGATCGTGTTGCCAAGGCTGGGGCGAGTATTAAGCAGACTGTTGCAAGCAGTGCGAGTAGCATCCTGGGACAGAAAGCGAGACCTTTCGACCAAATGAACAACATTGTGGCCAATCTCTTAATCCATATGACAAGGTATAAATAATTACTTCTCTCCAGTGTCTCCTGCCTGCCTTTTTGCTTGGAAAGCGTTCTGGGGAAGCTTTTCTTTTGATTAACACTGCTAGTATGCTCAATGAGGCCCTGCAACACTTTCCAGCGTGTTCACGAAATGCTCTCGATCGGCAGTCGAGGCACCTGCTGACACGTGAGCCCAATAATATAGCACAACATGTGGCCGAGAATTTACAATTCTATAAGTCGGTCAGAAATTGTTTCGTCTTCTCTCAACGAATGACACCGTAAAAACAATGTGGCTGAGCCAATAAATAAAAGTCTACGACCGTTGTTGATTACAGCATCATGAGCTGCGTAGTTACTGTGGCAGCCTTGAGATGTCGCCACAATGCCTGCGCACATGCTCGCGATAACATGGAAAGTAAGTCACACATTCGAAGAAAAGGTGCTCAAGGTCGTGACATATGCAGATGAATGGATGCATCTTTTGCCTTCTTGTCACATCCCTCTGTGCGTAGAGGGCACATGAAGCGTGCATCAAATGTCTGTAACTCCGCTCGTGCTTGATGGACTATAAAAATTTTTGCGACAGTCGACACATGAGGCAATGAGCTATTTTAATGAAGCCATTCAGCAATTACTGTGAAAAGTGTTCCAGAGCCCCTTCAGACGATGCTGAGGCCTCTCAAAACCTGATGCAAAATGGTGCTCCTGTTTGCAACTTCCCCGTGAATATTGCCATGTGCATAAAATCGGCGGACGCATCGTTGCCTAGGCAGGACTGACATTGCAGTGACAACACGGCGGTTGATGCTGCAAAAAAGATGGTATCTGACTAAACAGTGCAGCAATGTTGGATAATATAACGTGTCATCCAAAACATTCACAGCTGTCTTCAAATTGGCGACGACGCAATAGCTCACACAAAGCATACCTAATAAGCTTCTATAATAAAGCAGCTAATATCACAGAACGGTTATACACTGGTACTGTATCTTAAAATTTTTTGTGGACAGGCCATCCCACCCACTGGGGTAGCGCAAACTTTGTGGCTGCTGAATTCCAAACAGACATGAAGCTTCACATCTCAATTCTAGATCATCACTAATTGAGATGCCTATTTCTCTGTTGAACTGAAACAATGAAAATTTCCCTTTTATTTGCATGAAATGTGTGTCATCTGTTAGGCGCACTTGACCTCCTGTAGGCCTTATATTTCATTACCATACAACAGTGTCAAAGGAGAGAATAAACACAGGTGTATTAGTCTGTGTTTTTGTCATCTACACAATAAGCATCTCCTTTTTGTATTTTGTCTACACGAGATATACTTAAATTGTTGGGTTTAAATGTTCTGATATTAATATTGTATAGTTAGTGCATTAAGGGCCACGTGGAATGGAATTTCACTGAGTAGATTTGATGATCGATCATTCACAAATTTGCTGAAATTGCAAGGACGGCAGAGCCATAAGGTTTTGCAGTGGTGTAGTCATATGTTAACGTATTCTTATTCATCTAAAGTGGATGTTTGGGCATGTTGTTACTACATATCGGAGACAAAACGGCACAAAAGACAAAGTGCAAGAAAATGGGAGGCACAACAGCATTGACTTACAACAAAGCTTATTTCTCATCACAATGTGACGTATGCACCGTGGGATATATTTGTGCAGTCCTAAATGAAAGAAACAAGGAACAACGATAAAAACAACAGACTATCAGCCTCATCACTAAAAAACTAAAGAGTGATGAGGGTGATAGTTTGTTCTTTTTGTTATCAGTTTTTATCATTGCTTATCATTGTTCCTTCTTTTTTTTATTTAGGGCTGTACAAATATATATTGCACAGTGTTGACGAATAAACTTTGTTGTAAGTCAGCATTGTTGTTTGTGTCCTCCTTTTCCTTGTACTCTATCTATTGAGCTGTTTTGTTTCTTATCCACGCGTTAAATGTCAACTCTTGTGCAGAGGTTACTGTATATGTTCTGTCAACATCAAATGAAACCAGATCAGTGGCAAGCCTTTGCAATGGTATAGTGCACGCTGTCCAGTTATCACAATTGACAGGCGTACGCATCCTGTCCAGCAGCTCCGCACATATACGAGGTCTGCTAAAAAGCATCCGACCTTTGATGGAAGAAATAAAACTGGCATAATTGGAGTGCTGACAACCTAATCTTCCTCAAAGTAGTCTCCTTAGGACTCCACACACTTCTAGTGGTGCTGCCATTGTTGGACGCATTCTGAGAAGGCCTCCTTCGGAATGGGGTTTAGCTCAGCTGTCGTTGCAGTCATAATGTCCGGTTGAGTTTGCAAAACATGCAGGAGTCGCAGGAGGCTATATCAGGAGAGTAAGGAGCCTGTTGAACTACAGAGCCTGACTTTTTGCTAAAGAAGTTTGAACCAAGTGTGAGGAATTTGCAGAAGCATTGTCATGACGGATGCACCAGTTTCCTGTTTACCACAACTCAGGTCTCTTGCCCCGCACAGCATCACGTAGGTGACAAAGGACATCTCTGTAGTACTCATTTGTAATTCTTCGATGCTGGGGGGGCATACTCATAGTGTAACACACCGCGGGAATCTAAGAAAGCGCTCAGCATCACTTTGACGTTGCTGCACACTTGGCGGGCCTTCTTTGGTCTTGGTGACGAGGAATGCTTCCACTGTGACGACTGGGATATGGTTTCCGGCTCGTACCCGTACACCCAAGACTCGTCACCAGTTATAATGGTGTTCATGAAGTTAGGGTCACTGCTTGTGAAATACGGCATGTCTTGTGAGACTTCAACACGAAGTTGCTTTTGCTCCATCGTGAGCAGTTTCAGCACGAATTGCACCGTAACTCTCTTCATGGCCAAATCTTCGGTCATAATGGAATGTGCAGAGAAAGTATTGATGCCCACCTCTTCCGCGATTTTTCGGGTAGTCACACAGCGGTCTCGCATCACCAACAGCGTTCACTTCGGCAATGATTTGGTCATTTCGGCATGTTGATGGCCAACCAAAGCGTGGCTTGCTCTCCACTGATGTGCAGCCGTTTTTAAACCGGTTGTACTACTCCTTAATCTGTGTGTGGCTCATAACATCATCACTGAAAGCCGTCTTGATCTTCGGAATGGTTTCCACCTGGCTGTTGCCCATTTTCTGGCAAAATTTGATGCAGTAGCACTGCTTCAGTCACTCCGTCATTTTTCTTGCAATGAAAAACCGACGAGAGCGCAGCACACTACCTCACTCAAATGCTGCATCCCAGGGACTGATGCTATCGGCAGGCAGAAAAAATTCACGCATGCGCACGAAGGCTCAAGGTCAGCTGATGCAAATGCGCTTGTTTCAAATTCATCAAGTGCTCGCAAAAGAAAAAAAGAAAGGTAGGATATTTTTCTAACAGACCTCGTACACGTGCCTGTCCATTGTGATAAGCGGACGGGGAGCACTATACCATCACGAAGGCTTGCCGCTGTTCGGGTTTCATTTGACGCTGATGCTACTGTATCTCAAAGCATGAATTTTATGTAGTCTAAGATTTGATATGGCATGACCTGCATTTGCAGTTCAGCACGTTTTTCGGGCTCGCTCAACGTGGACATGAACGAAGTTTGCACTAATCTGGTGCCCTATCCCAAGCTGCATTTCCTGGTGTCCAGCATCACACCGCTTTACTCGCTTCTAGATGTCAACCTACCAGCTCGCAGGTGAGCCTTTTATTTTTTTACCGATAGGCAGGTAGCCCGATAATTAAGGCTAATTTAGCGTTTTCTTGAATGGTAAATTCTGGCCATTTTGACAGGAACGTTCTGCCAGACATATTTTCTAATGTTGCAGTCATATGTGAGGTAGCTCATTCCTGGCAGCCCAAGACGTGGAAAAGTGCCACCGACAATCTTAGCTCGTTATTAACCATTTTTTACTATAAATGCCTAGACAGCTGTCCTGTTAAAGACGTGGAACAATACAATGTCTGTTGTGAGGTCATCATTATTGAACTATGTCCCATTGTTTTGTGTAAACGTGTCATCCTTGGGAAATTGTAGCAGCTGTTCTACGTATGTTGCGCTCACTTTCTCATGTCTTCAAGTAAGGATAAAAAAAAGATACTATAGCACGACATGTTCTTTTACGCTCAGACTGGACCAGATGTTCACGGATGCACTTAGTCCGAATCACCAGCTAGTGCAGTGTGATATCAGAAAAGGAACCATGCTATCCTGTGCCCTTCTAGCAAGAGGAGACGTCTGCATGGCTGACATGCGCAGGAACCTCGAGAGGCAAGTCTACGGATTATGTCGGACATCAAATGAAGTACCTGTCTGTATCTGTTTTACAATGCATTCAGTTTCATATTGCTTTTGTCGAATATCACGGCAAGTTATATTGAATATTTAAACGTTTCCAACAAGGAGCAAGCAGCATTGTCATCTATTCCGATAACTGTGACAATAAAATTCCGCAAAGCGCTAGCCAGCCAGCTGAATTATCTGCACTGCACCTGCAGTTATTGTCTAAAATTCTTATTGATAGCAGAACTGTCAGAATTAAAAGTGCACTATGATAGAAGATTTTACATTATAATAAGATGCTTTAGTATATCTCGTCAGGTAGTGGTACTGATACGTAGCTCTACAACATTAGCAGGAGCACATAGTAATAGCGTCTCCTTTCGCATTATACTGTGTCTGTATCTTCTGCATTTGAAGAATGGCTGGCGAGCACATTGCACTACTACTTCTTTGCCTGTATGCAGATTGCGAGCAGGCCTCAAATTTGTTCACTGGAACCAGGATGGTTGGAAGACGGGCCTGTGCTCGGCAGCGCCAGTGCACCAACCATACTCCCTGCTGACTCTTTGCAACACCAGCTCATTCCATCATGTTCTTTGCCGACTGAGGTCCGGATTCCTCAAGCTGTACAATCGCAAGGCAAGTATAAACCTGTATATCCATGCAACCGTGTATACTCAGTACTCAGACGTGCATGCTATAAAACGCACAAAGGAAAGGAAACTGGTAAAATTATTCAAGTGCGGGACAGACTTCTGAAGACAAGCTCCCATAAAACTGTGGCCTACAGCTGTAGAGTAATGTCTGCATGCTTAACTTCTACTTCCTTGTTCTATACAGTCAAAACCCTTTATAAGACACTAATATAGGGGACAAATGGGTATAAATGACTTAAGTATGCCTACAGTAAAATACGGGGGATAGGAAAATGCATACGAGGTACCCTGCTTATAAGAGACATCTCGTATAAAAGACGAGAATGGCTGCTCTGAGCACACCTCTTATAAAGGGGTTTAACTGTGCTGTGAATGCTATGGCAATGTGCTTTTAAGTGTTAGCGCCAAGCTGTCGTAGCCAGCCATATTAACGCTGTTCGAATATGTACAACATTATCTGCACTCGAGCTTTTTGATTATGATCCGCACCCTCAAGCGATTCACGAAAAATTTTGTAGAACAAAATTCCCGCGCTATACCGCAAAGCTAGCTTCCTTGCATAGCTGCGAAGCATTGCCGTGAAGCCATCTTTGCACACCGAAGTTTACATTGTTTGTTTAGACTTTAGATCCGACAAAATTACACCATGTGGCTGTAATTGGAGTAAACTTGTACAAAATTCTGTGAAACAAAGCTGATTAAAGGAGCAGAGACTCAAAAATGTTGCACTTTTTTTTCAATGGGTAGCTTATGACCAACTTATCACAGATGGGAACCTAGTTTGCTTGAGCACGCGACACTTATTTATTTAGAGACATCTAATTCAGAGTGCCCAGTTGCAGCTTCGGTTTCAAGTATCACTGAGCCAGGTAGGCAGGAGCAGTATGAGTGGCAAGGTAAAAAACACGGCTGGCTACGCGGCCACCCAAAACTGTGACGTGGACGCCACACGCGAGCGGGGGCCGCAATGACAGCCAGCACATGCAAAGCCGCAGGCAAGGAGGAAGAAATCGCAGGTAGTCCAAGAACAAGCAACTAGCCAACACAAACTCGTGACATAGGGTTTGTTTACATTACCTCTGTGTTGTTGCGAGGGGCTCCGCATCTTGCTCAGTTGCGCGACACGCACTATGGATTTCATTTTAAATGTGCTCTAGGCTACAATCGCCCTTGATATTTCGTAGATATTGTGTATGTCTCCACGTAAATCTATCTCACCTTTGAAATTTTGTGTCGGTGCTCCTTTAATTAAATAATTCACAGAATAGTCAAGTCATTTGTTTTAAGTACTTCTGACAACTGGAAATTCATTCTGGAATATAGGAAAATAAAGGCTAGCTGTGTCAATTCTGCATGCTCAAACGAGAGCAACCAAAATTAAGCTCTAAAGATTGTACATTGGGCATTGCTAGGTCTGGCTAGAGTGTTTTCTGCGCTCATGAACATAAATCATTGCTTTGCTTTGCAGGCGCACATGCACCACTTTCTCCAAGTGCCTTCCATGGAGGAATCTCACTTTCAGGAGGCCCTAGAAAGCTTAGCCGAGCTGTCAGCCTTGTACCGGTCCATGGAAGGCACAGACTTCAGCAAACTAACTCGTCCAAGGATCAAAGTTTTGCTGTGAACGGAAACACGTGCCTTTATAGTAGCAGTACTGAGTGGTTTAGTAGGGTGCCAAGGATTTTTTGTCGTTAGTACTAGTGCGGTTTTTATACCGTAGCACTTTCCTGTGCTATACTATCGACGATCGTTGATTGAAATCAAAACTAATTGAATATACATCTAAGGTCTTCATTTTTTGAAGGCATACTTGTTTGTGATGATATCACGTACACATTTTTTAGTAGAAAAAAAAAAAGCATTGAACCGTTTCAGTACTACTTGTGTGCATTAGTGCCAAGTTGAACTTATTAAGTGCACCATTTAGTAGTGTCAAATATGCAATGTTTTTGTAACGTGATATTTCTATATGGGGCCCCTTTTAGCTAGACATGGTATCTAACTACAATGCTAGATTTCAGAAGGGATGCTCACGTTTTTTAAGCTATTATAGCAATGCATTCATGCCATCTACACTTGCACTATGCTGCATTTGTTAAACTATTTTAATGTTGACTCTGCATTGCCTTGTCCTGAATACACTATGGAATTGATGAAATACATGCAAGGTGCATCCTCTTTATTTATAGTGCCCTCCTACACTTAATGTTTTTTGTATCCATTTATGGAAGAGCAACCTGAAAACTTTGTTGAGAAAAGGACGAGCCGCTGTTTCCATGGCGAAGCCATAGGAACATTGTGTACCGAGTATTCGGGTGTGTGTATCAGTGTTCTCCACCGCCATGCGTCATTTGTGGGGGCGCGGAGGATGTAGAAAATTGTGCGTACGACAAGAAGTGGTAGTATTATCATCATAAGTGTGTTCAAATACAGGTGTTATAGGGGAGGGGGGGGGGGGGGGCTTTGCCATGGCGACAGCGACTCGTCCTTTTCTCTACAAACTTACTGGGCAAATTACTACTTGTTGTAACGTACCTGCAATTTCATATTGCACTCTTATCGTAAGGTTTGCCATTTGTAATGATACACTGCCATCATGTTGCATTTGTCTTTTATACATATAGAAGAAGCATTTTATGCAGACACAGTTCCATAAATTTGTACATATTCTATTTATTACGTTTGATGTTTGCATTTTTTTACTTGTAACCAGTGTATTCTTTTTACCCGTGACGTCCACTCGGCCTCTTGGCTATGGCTAGTGCAATTATGCGCATAGTATTTCGCAATAAAGCAGCGATACCTGTCTCGCTGTCGGAAGTGGTTCTGTTTGCATCTTCTACGACTGCAGTAACGGAGAGCATGCCACACACTTCGCGTAACATTTATTAAACCAGGAGCAGATGACGTGCAGCACAACGGAGCGTGCAGCTAAGTGCCAACATCAAGCTTATAGTACAGAAATGCCCCTCTCGAGAGGGTTATCACAACTTACTCAAAAACAAAGCCTCACATTTTTGGGTAAACCCATGGCACATCGCGCACTACGCAAAGCAAATTTACAAATGCGGGCACTGTAATCACGCATAACTGGTTGCATGACTTTTGAAGTTTCAATAAATGAGAAAAACAGCAATTTGGAAACGAAGAATTGCAATGATCTTTCAGTATCACATTTATTCTAAGCACCACTGGATTTAAAGGGACCTGCCAGTCGAAGAGAACAATTTTTGATTTGCAGGTTAAATTCTCGCTTCATCACTAGAGCAAGCTGACCGGGAAAAAATGTAGGAATAGCCTCATTCTGCAGCGAACAAAAATAAGCCACACCTAGAGAGGTATTAACCACAGCCCTGTTCCAATTTCTGTACGGTTGGCAAAATAGATCCTACAACGTTTTGCTCACTACAATGAACACATTGATGCTAAGACTATCAAGAGCAAATTGAAGGAGTTGTGGCCAGTACATCAAGAGATTCCTTCGAATGTGCTATGAGGAAGCGGTTGGCGGTACACATTACATGCCAGCTTGATGTGTTCATTGAAATTCGTTCAATTGCCATAGTCACCATCATTTCACCCGACGGGTAGCATTACGGTTACGATGATGCTACATTAATAACACATCAGAGGCTACATGTGCTCTGCTAGACTATGTTCACGTGCAAGTGATTATATGTTCACAACAGTAGACGAGGCTTCACATGTTACACTGCCACATACTACAATGTCCATTTGTCATGGCAGCCAAAGACTCGTTGTATTACACTAAACAGCTGCAAACAACCTAATTCTAACATCAACAAAATGACAGCCCCCCGTTTCAAACCACTCTGCAACATATTAGAGCCCTCACCTTCCAAGTTCTTGAGGAAGCTGGGCTTCTGAGTAATTACTTTTCGTTATATTTATTTGTTACGTGGCACGGTATCTTACGTGACTTTTTTTACAGCATCAACAAGAAATCAGTCTGCTGGCTTGCCCAGTGGGCATTGGTTAAAAGCAATATTGCCCTCAGAATTAAAAATTGAAAAATACGACATGCACAGTCACCAAACGTCCGAAAATAAAATTGTAAAAAGCATGAGAACCGTTGAAGGCATCATAAACTGGATATATTAACTGTAATGTGCCTGCTGCCTATCACAAGTACGCGAGAACATCGAGTATGTGTACGTACTAACTTGTGTATTGCATAACACATCGCTAGAATATTGTCATATAACAAATAAAAGCAATCCCAAAAGGACCTCACAGAGCTGATTGTACAAAAACCAGAACATATTCTCCATCCTCCACGATGACATTCACACATCAATCTAAGACATGCATAATGACTACCACTTCTAAACAATACAAAAGTCTCTAGAGCACTCCATATTCACAAGCGGAGTTGTTGCCTGGCTGTTACGATGCAGGACATGGATATTCGATGCTTCAGGGCACCTCACTTGAGGGAAGGTACACTTGAATTGCAGTATATCGGATAATAACTAAGCGTGTGTGTTTTTACAAAATGATATTACCAAGTTGAATTTTTCATTTACTTCAGTAAACCTGGTAATTTGTTAGTCTTGTTTGTGATGCTGAGGTATGATTCATGTCTGGATACAAATAAATTGTACACAGTACATTGTATAATTTATGCACAGTAGATCTAAAAACTGTTCAGGAGCAATTAATGCAACAAACACAAGTACACATGAGCCAGGATTCAATGATAAAGTGGCTTGAAAAACAAGTGCAAAGACCTAAGGACATGCAAACAGAATACTGCTGTCATAAATTGGAGCGATGGCAAGGAACAACCTTCTAAATGTTAAATGCTACAGACAAACTACAATGGGAAAGTCAACACAGTAACAAGAAAAAAAGCTCGAATGGCATCATTGACTAGCAGCATAACGCTGAATAGGTTTGCAGAAATCACGGGAATGGTGACAAAAAATGATTACTTTCTGAAAAGGTTCTGCAGTGCTGGTTCTGGCCTGACTTGAATGAGTAAAAAGAGAAAATAAAGTTCCAAGAATGTTTTGTTTGGGCTAAATCACAGGTATGGATGCCATTAGTGTCAATGAATGTTTAAAGTACTTGTAAATGCGTGCCATTACTCAGTACTTTTCTTTGCGCTCAACAGAGACCCTCTGTCCTGGTCAGATGAAAATTCTGTAGTTCCTTCATGTAGCTGTATGGCACTAACAAAATTAACATGCCACTCACCTCTCAGCGAAAATCAATGGGCACCAGCTTTTCCACTTGAGTTAACCAGTTGTTTTTAGCTATTCACTAGACTATACACTCTCTTTGCAACTCTGCTAAGCTAACACAACAGTCTAGAAGTTTAGAACAATGGTAAGTTGAGCTAGTAGGTAGATGTTCGTCCATAAAAAAAGGTAAAGCGTGTACACATGTAAGAGAAGCAGGTCACCCAATATGTGTTCTTGAAATCTGGTTCGCTTCTCTAGCCGTGTTTCCACACCATTAATTTCTTTCATGACGAGCCTACAAGTGCTGGCTACATCACACTGGCACTTCGCTATGATGTTACTATGCAGTTTTGTCTATTTGCAGGCAAATGTACAGAATGCAGAAAATGTTCCTTTAGACATGGCATGCATGAGCAAGAGTAACAAACTAAAGCGAACTTGGAAGTACTTGAAAACATGACAAGAGTTGTACCAGTCATGGCTACAATTGAGGACGTAAAAACAAGGTCATCGCTTGTAAACTAGCAGACATAACAGAAGATCACGAGTTTTGTCTATACACTTGCACCAGGCATACGGTATCAAGCTTTTAAATAAACTCATTGCTTCAGTGAACTGGTTTTGCAACTTCCGTTGAATAGCCCTGCTCGCACAGGTAAACAGCGAGTTCACGTATAGGCACTAACAAGTCAGATTACCAATGCCCAGTGTCAGCTGCCTTTGACTTGGTTTCTTAGTCCATTAACTCCTATGATGACAGCCATAGAGAAATGTCACGGTAAACGAGAAAAGGTGCTCATGGCTGCATCAGCTGCCCTAGAGTGACCAAAACCCCTCCTAGCAGTGCTATAAGAGACACGTATGCCAGAATCTTATTTGCAAAACAATACTGAGTGGCAGAACTGTTTCTTGCTGTAGGCAGGTTTCCATTCTTGATCACATCAGTGCCCGTTATTTTGATGATGCTCGCCACATATGCCCAATCCAGCTGTTCACCACCTTCTCCTCTAGCCCTTTCCCACTCTTGCTCATTGCCTAGCCTTCGCGTGTGCTTTGCAGTCACGGGGGAGGGAACCCATCATGCAGTGTCTCATGAGGAAAATCATATAAATTAATTTTTTTTCAGTAGTGCACAGATCCACGAGGCAGCGCGTTGCATTCCCCGTGTTCACAATGTTGACGATGTTTCGAGATTGCATGTGCCCGTTCGTGGCGCTATGCGGCGAACCAATGGGAAAGCGTCACTGCAACACTACTGCATGTACTGACTTTAAGAGCACTGTGCTACGATGGCAGCATTGCTTCGAGCCACAATGAAGGTGTACAAAGGATCAAATCTGACAGATGTATGACATTGGAGCGGGACACAAGTCTATCGCATCTCTGAGGCACAGCACTTCGACACACATGAGCCACAAGCAGCGCTAGCCCTCATGCAACGTTTCATCACGACCACTCCTTGAACTAAGGCGGACTGACAGCTCCTGTGGAAAAGCATGCATTTGCGCTGGCATTGAAAGAAATAAAGGAGGCATGAATCACAGGAAGCCCTGTGTATAGCTCCCTTTCAGTAGAGTGATAATGCAATCCTATTCATGAAATCGCAATTCAATATTGTTGCGGCCAGGAACATTCACATGAATAATAAATTTTGTAGAAAAGTAGTAAGTGTTATTACGAAAGTCACTACCTTACTTGGGCATCAAAAAATAGTCTTGTAATCACTGTTCATTACTGGTTCTTTACTTTCTACCCTCAATGTTTCTACATTAGAGAGAGATTATATAAATTTTGAAACTTACATGAAATTGAACAGAGGCATTCTTACTTTTGAATGCAACTTCCCACCATAATTTTACCAATATTCAAGGCAGCCATATCACTATTTTTGCTTTGTCTTCACCAAGCTGTCCACTTCCACATTAAAATTTACACCATAAAACTGATAAACAGATTATAATTATACAATTGTTGTTATAGTAGCTTTACCCACATCAGCTTAAGAGTGCCCTGAAAAAACAGCGAAATATGTTACAGTAATGTCACACGAGAACCAAACGTGAGTTGCATTGTCTCATCACAGACTACAAGAAAACCAGTAGTTCATCACTAAACAGAATAAAACCTTTCCTGCAGTACTATGTCGATTTGTCTAACACAGAAAAAGATCATTCTTATTACGCTCTAAGGATTCGGGTTTGAGGCCGTAAACCTCAAGCACAGATGGCCACTTATCAAGCTGTGTGGAGGGGACCAAACTCAAATATGTCCCTTCACAACACATAAATTTAAAATTACTTTTCTTTTGCAACTCAACACCAAAATGCAAATGCACTAGAATTTCCTAAACACACAAACATTGGTGATGAGTGAAAAAAAAAAGCAAATGTGACATAATAGACAATTGATATGTGGGGTTTAACGTCCCAAAGCCAGACGTAATAGACAAATCTGCTAGACAAAAAAAATAAATAGCACACACCACCCTGCAACGACAAAGCGCTGACCAGTGGTTCCTGCAGCTGCAATGACAAGGGGCTATGGGGTGACAGTGTGCCATAATTCAATAAGGCTCACGCATGAATACAAAGAAGAGCAACAAACCGTCAGCTGCTTGGGCTGCGCAACGGCAAGGACACTGAAGCTTGAGGGTACTCATGGTTTACTAGAGGCTTCGCCTTCACTTCTAACATGAACACCAACAACATGTGTCATTTTTTTGGTGTTACGCAGGAAACTCGAGCACATCATCACTCGAAGGTGGGCGACGAAACAATACACACGCTATCAGCACAAAAAGAGAAATGCAAACTCAGGACTCGCATGGGTCACATGTACCCGAGTAATCATAGTAATCTCAGGAGCACACCATTTATAATAGCAATGAGCAATTTCACTACCAGTGATTAAACTCTGCCGATCCATCGACTGGCTTTAAACCGAAAATGGTGCTACGACTTACAAACATGGCTGGGTTCATTTATATTGATACCATATTGATATGAAGTATGGAACAATGCATCAGTAAGTTCATTCAAATTGGGAACACAGACTATGTTGATCGTAATACACATGTCATATGTGAACCAGTAAACGCAACCATCAATGACATCTTCAAGCTCTGTTGGGACAACAAGTCATCAATCACCACTAAAACAGCTTTCTGCCAGATTCAACATTCTCAATCAGCGCATGTCAGAAGGCAGGATTAAAGGGCCTCTAAACCACCAAGAGGTCGAGATTTAATAGTGGGGTTGCAGTTGTGCATGAGTCTACAAAACGCACATGGTTGCAAAAATTTTTGATAACGGAGCCATTATACAGTAGTGAGGTTACACGCATTTGAAGAACTAAATATGACCATCACCTGTGTTGCTCTTTCCTTTGCTCCGCTCTTTGTTGGCCTGCCTCTCCTACTGGCAGAGTGTTCTTCCTCATACACCAGGAGCGTGCATTCCTGCAAGCAGGACTAAGAGGTTCTTTCTGCTGCTGATGTAATCAGATTCTCCTGGTAACGTCAAGTCCAATGCTAGAAATGCTGAAGGGCCCTAGGGAGAACTGTGGGATTTCTTTTTTTAAATTTTGTGGCACACCTGGAGTGCATAGTGCTGCCACACTTTGCACGGTTAATCACAACAGCACTCTTAACTTTGCGTGCATTTACTTGAAATGTTAAGAAAAAATATGACAGGTGGTCTAAAAGCCCTTTAAGGACCGCTCTGAACCAATCAAAAGCCGCATGCAATCTCAGAACTACGAAGGTGTTTCCTGTCTACTGGCAATTCTGGGCCGATGCATCGCACTTTCGTTTTAATGCAGCAAAGTCTGCTGTGTTAATAGCAGACTTTTATTCAAGGTGAAACAGTAAGCTCTAGTCTAGCCACATCCACTGGCACTCACTAGAAGGCGTTCGTGGTCCTGATGTCGGCAGTTTGGAGAATCACTCGGGTCAATGCGATATCCCGATTGCACCTGCGTTAACATTTCTCCGGGTGCTGGAAAAACATGCCTAGCGTCTGTTCAACACGGTCCACAAGGGATGTAAGGTGGGAGTCACGAGCATGCGTGTGTCGGCGTGCGGTGCTACCGGCGCCGCTCGCCCTTCTGAGTGCGTTTGCGCTCTTTGTCCTTGCGCTCTTGTGCCTGCTGCTTCTGTTTCTCGCGGTTCAGCTTGTCCTGCGCTTTCTTGCGCTCATGCTCTTGCTTGCTATGCTCTCGCTTCTCCTTCTCGGCCTGGGCGACATTCTCGGCGTTAGTGTTCCTCGCAAGCACTGCCAATGATGTCACAAGCAAGTCAAGGAACATGTCCGCAAGGTTGCTTGTTCGTTATTATAAAAGTGAACCAGCAGGAAAATAAAAACGCAGGACACCAACAGGGAACATGTACAGTGCACTGTACAGTTCTGCTCTTAGTGCCTTCAGTCTAACCCTTTGCAGTCTGAAACATTTACCCACTTTCCAGCCAGTCCAAAACTTTTTGCCAGTTTCTTGGGCCGAGAAAAAAAAAACAGAAACTGTGGAAGGAAACCTCACACAATATTTATTTTTGCTCCTGTATTTTGCAGGAAACTTCTTTAGGGATGTTAGGGCAGCGTATGATACTGCTCAAAGCATTCTCCTGGGCGCAGGCCTGGGTTGTTACTGCAGGTTTTGTAAAAGAACTGTTTCCCTCCTGCGTCCTTCTGTTTTCCTATCACTACAAACAGCACAGACCTTGCGGCTTCGGCCTGGCAGCTTGTAAATAAAATGGCTCTTTCGATCTAGCCTTTCTTTGCACTCCTTCCGTGCCGACAGGCTCTGCTTCTGGGCTCAACAACGTCATCCATAAGCTGTTGGATGAAATTGCGTTGGTACTGAAGGTGTTGGTCATCGTTCTGGCCATAATTCTGCAGCTGTCTGCGCCTCAAAATAAAACTGTACACAATAGAATCCTCCAGGGGCGAGAAAAAAAAAAAAAGCTCGTGCCACAATTTCATCTTTTTTGCGACAAAATGCGTAGCTCACATAATAATGACCCGCTGTCATCTTCACTCGCTTTTGTTGAATCACTGTCATCATTATCTGATGGAAGAAAGTAATTATCTTTCTCACTAAAGACACAATTGCTTTCACTAAAAGCACCACCATGAAATGCATGCGGTGAAAGGCTTCTCAGCGAATCGTGCGCTCTAGGCTCCAGTAGCTGTGCTGAACATTGTGTTGCACTCTAGTGTAGAAAAAGTAAACATCAACAAACAAAGCCCGCTTATTCCTCCAGAGATTACGCTTAACATATAAAAAAAATGAAAGCATATCCACACAGTGAATGATGATTAGTGAGGCGAAGCTTCAAAGGGTTTTATCCGTAAACCATGAATCATTCACAGGCCCGGTTCGTCTGTCTGTCCATCCATCTGCCTGTCTATATGTTCGTCCGTCCATATGTTCATCGCCTGTGTGTCTGCATGTCAATCTGTAAGTTTGTCCGTCTAGCGAACACTTCAAGTACCGCCATCTCACATCTTTTCAACATATATTCATCATATACATGTACCGCCATCCAGCGGACATTCCAAGGACTAAAACGAGAGGTGGCTACTACATACAAGAGACGCACGATCCACTTCGCTCATAAAAAATGTGCGTGACTCACAGTGAGAAAACCACGAAATTTAAACCATGAACACCCTTCTCGGGCAGTGCCGAACAACGGACCGCATAGGGTTACAGGAACACTAAAGTCAAATAAAAAGTTATGTCAGAGTTAAATCTCAATGTACAACAACGTCTAAAATGACAATAATATCAACAGCAAAGCCCTACTTGCCGAGAAATCAAGGTAAATGCACGAGAACACATGCACCACGAGTGGGACATTTGCAAAATGATCCTGATGACGTCAGAGTTGAAGCCTACAATAATTCACTAGTAATCGAACTAACTGCACTGAATGAAGAACCTTCCGTGCATCAAAAGGCGTAATAAAATGATGCTTGCTTGTTTCTGTTTGATTCATACAAAAAGAACCACTGGACATTTATGGAAGAACGGCGCGAGTAGTTCAAAAGTTCAATTTTTGCCTGGTTAAAAGCTGGACAGGTCGTGCCATTTAGCAGGGCCCATTTGAACCAAGCACGCCTGCCATCTAGGAGGCCATGGCCAAAAGTTGTTCAATGGCCTTTGTTGGTGCTGTGGCTCCCGCTACTTTCGCTCTGCTGTTACCAGTGTCGGTGGCCGCGCAGCAAAGCCAAGCAACGTTGTGCACGGCAACTGTGACGTGAGACGGCCACCTTCAAGTGGGGAATTTGAAGTGTACTAAAAAGATACGGACGTGATATTATTTCAAAATGACAACTTCCTTGGCACAAAAGTAGTACTATGAGGGTTCTGGACCGCTATTTCAACAATCAACATCGACTTCATATTTGTCTTTAGTGTCCTTTCAATAAGCATCCTACGGTTTAATACATAGCAAGCAAAAGTGGCAAAGCTAAGGCAACGTTTGGCACTATTTGCACCTGCAGCCAAAAAACTGTGGGTGCTATGTGGCGGCAGGAGATTCAAATGTGCCACATAATATAGTTTGGGTTGGCCATTACAGGCACAATATGAACCCTAACTTTGCAAGCCACAAAAGGATACATTTTGGAACGTAATGTTCCTTGTGGGCTGCTCCAGAAGCCGCAGGAGGGGCCACCACCGATTCTGTAGATGACTTTGTTACCACTTCCCTGCATGAATCGTTGTGGGGTATATTACCACTGCAAACTATGGAAACCATTGCATCTACCCAAAGACAAAATAGAGCAGTTCACTTCGTCGATGTAGTCCTGCATGAAATGTGCAGAAATATGGCCACAGAGCCAGACAGAGTTTGTACATGAAGCCTGCACTAGCACTTGATTTTAGAAGTATCAGGACGCTCAATGCATGGTAGCATAAGCATGCACAGGGCTCTCTGTCAGGGTGGGTGAATGTGCATTGCGCCGCCTCCCACGTCCGTGAAGTCACAGACAGGTTCTCAGCGCTAGGTACCCAGAGATGCCGGTCACCGTGACTTTTTTATCTCATTGGCAAGTGTCAGGGCAGGGGAGAACACAAAGTCGCTATGTCCCCGCTTTTTTTTTCCTGCTTTCCCCCAGCTACCCCCTGCTTTCGTCTGTTCCCCAGCCACAACATTAGTGAACACAAAATAACGCGAAGGGCACTGGCACTATTCCGATGTCACAGTTCTTTGCTCCGTGCGTCGCGTACGAGTATCAGTGCACGTGGCGTCTCAACGAGCTGGTACCCAGAGATGGTGGCCACGGTGACGTCCATGCACATTATGTAATATTAAGTCAATGTATGAGGTAGACATTGTACACACCTTACCCGTTGCGCACGTTTACATATGGTAATAAGACTGAATCAAGCCGCATAAATATTTCATAGCTAAGATTCGGAGCAACAAAATGGTAGTTCAGCTTGAGCTTGAAAGATGATGCAATAGGTGGATAGCAGAATGGCCCATCGTCTGCTTCTGTACTTCCGGTTCGAGGCCTATCCCTTCGCTACTTCAAGGTGCCTACTGCGCGGTGTAATCGGTGTAAAGATGCGTGCAATTCTGTGGCGCTTTTGCTGCTGTTTGTTCAATGATTGTGTTCTTGAATTTTTTTTAATGAATGGATAGATGATATTTCGCGCATTGCAGAGAATGAAGCGAGACGTGGACATGAGCGAAAACGAGGAACATTGTGAGATGGGTTTTGAGCACATGCATGCGGTTATAGCTCAGTAAAACTTGTTGTTGGGCTAGTTGGTTATTTATAATATTGTAAGAATTTAGCACAACCCTGACTCTCGCAAACACTCACACTAGCACTCACACATCCACCCAAGTAACACACACGACGCGCAGCGCTCACTACCAAGTGTTTATTGCTCCGATATGACCTTCTTATATACGTACAGATGAATGCGCAAAGGTAATAATTAACAGAGCTGCGCCCGTGGAAAGCCAACAGCATGTGAGGTATATAGCGCCACCACACAACAAGGAACATGTAAAAAAAAAGTGAACATGAAAAGCAGACAAACCAGATAGAATCACTAAATCCTTGCCTCGAGAAAAATATTTCCAGTTGATGCAACACCAAAGACTGCTCGCTGACACAGATATCCTTATTTTTTTTCAATAAAATATGCTTCCAATGGCAGATGTGCAGATAAATTTGAGCTTCTTCCAAGAACCTTCGTTTCAGAGAATCGTGCTTAACACCCACATGCGGCAATATGTGACACAAAATGTGCGTACTTATCTTCGTTTTTCTCGGCAATATGTGACACAAGATGTGCGTACTTATCTTCGTTTTTCTTGAACTTTAGCACATGCTCCCTAAGCCGGTCATTGAGGCATCTCTCGGTAATGCCAATGTACACGTTACTGCAGCGCTGCGAGTCGTGTGTGTTACTCAGGTGGATGTGTGAGTGCTTGTGTGAGTGTTTGCGAGAGTCAAGGCTGTGCTAAATTCTTACAATATGGCGTGCAGTTATGCTTTGAAACACGCAGTAATCTTTTGCAGAATCCCCTCCATTTAGTATTTTCGAGCGCATACACTTCCCCAGACAACTTCAAAATCACTTGCACATATGCTCACATGCTGTCATATGTCAATATACATACGATGTCTATATATGTACGCGTACTTTGCACGATCAAGTATGCCGATATAGTATACTTCTATTGTATAACCTGCATCACTAACATTCAGTCAAATCGATTAAAACAGGTGAGTACATGAGCCCACAGAACGATACGGCCACTCAAACAATGGTACCATGCGACGTAAAATGATCCAAGTCGCTTTTGAAGCAATGAGTAGCATGGTATGGCGTATCTGTTATGTCAGACTTGCAAGCGTGTAGTGCCGATAGGTCATGTTAAACTCCAACTCATAGCCTTAAAGGCTATCTTGCACAACTTTACGCTGAGTGCGGATAATTTTGCATGCATTCAAAAACATTGTTCGAGCATGTGAGGGACGACACCTCATTTAAAGGTATTTAGAGGCATACAAAAAGAAAGCCAGAGGACCATGACCGCGTTTCGTTTATAGCTTTCGAAACACATTACTATGGCCATTCGGTACATCGAGTCCGGAATGGTATCTTTGTAACTAAAAACTGAATAAATCATTTTACGGGTACGTGATCAACAAGAAAATAAGAGAACCATGATGTGCAGGAATCTTTGTATCCGACAAAACATGCGCAATATAACCTTCGCTGCAAAACAACAAGCATCCTATTCATCGACTACATCGCGTTGCGCGCAGGAAACATCGCCCATGTAAAATCATATAATAAGCAACGGTGAAGATTGCACATTTAGTTTTAACACATAAGCGAAAGCTCTAGACTGTTCGACCTGTCAATTTTGGCGACTTTGAAAAGCGTTGCTGTGTTAGTACGGTACGAACTGCGCACGAGATAACATCCACACAACTTACTCTTCTCCATCGGAGACTTCACCGTACTGCGCAAGAATGGCTTGTCGTAATTTTTGTTCCTCCACGGATAGGTTTTTTTCGGCGACAACAGACTTGGCCTGTTCCTCCATGAGACTCACTAGCTTCGCTTCGACGTTGTATTTCCCTGAAAATGAACAAAAAACAAGCAGGCCGTGAAACCATCCATGATTCGGGCCACAGCCATCGCGCGGGTGCACACATGCCACCGGCAAGCGCACATGTTTTCTCAAACCTTGTTCGTCATTCACCCGCACATCTCCCTCGGCTGGCCGCTCGTTATACTTCGGACCACTTGTTAAATATCTCGTCTTTCACGTCGCACAGCTGCATCCTCCTGTCGACAGAGAAACAAGTGTTCACGTGAATCGAAGAACTATCAATGAATGCGAGCTCGCGCAATGCAACATGCGATTTCTCCTACGCAAACTTCTGTGAGGATGCCTTGGAGCGCCTCGGATTTCTCGTCCTCCGTCTCGTTGCCTTCGAGTATGCCCGTGATGTAGCTCCCAAACACGTCCGGATCGATGTTCAGGGCTCGCAACTTGTCGGTCAGCCAGAGTTCGAAATCACCGTGCAGAGCCGCCATTCTGAGCGCGGAGCCCAACACCTTCGCCTGGGCGGGCGGCCGTCTGCTACACTGGCTGCGTCTCCCTCATGCTATCCACATCAAGACGGGTGGCTGTGGAGCATGGTAGGAGCGCATTCTTCCTTTCTTTTTTCTGTTTCCTCACTTGCGTTCTTTATAAAGCTACGAATGATAGCTACTCCAAGTGCTGCCTTTGTTGAACTGTTCCGACTATATTCAACACACTTTGTTTTTTGCTTACTCGGTCTTGGCACTTTTTATTAGCAGTGAAGAAAAAAAAAAAAAGGTGATGTAGTTCCGGTTTCGCTTTCTCGCCGTCAACGTAGCACGACAGTGACTTCTTGGCAACGTAACTTATCTTTTAGCCCCAAAGAAGCTATGATCATATAAAAATTCCTAAGTTATTCAATACACTGGCTGCAATTATGAAATATTTATATTTTTTCTCTGCTTTTTTACCTTACGAAATTCATGATACAATGACACCTTACAGAACGTTCGCGACATGGCAAGCACATTCATATCATAGAGCAACATAGTAAACTGTGTTACTCTATGGTCATATAATTTAGGACGAAAATACCCTGTTATAAGTCAAACCTGTGAAGCGCACGCGATTTGATTCGAAATGCCTCGATATCGCCTCAACACAATTAAGATTCACTCCCCGTTGGGTGCGCGGAGTTCTTAGTTATCGCAGGGGAGAAGGGGCAAAGGGTAAAGTCCATCTTGTTGGTCGAGTGTAATGGAAACAAGCTTCTAAATGGATGCGTAAATTGAAGCGGGGCTTCAGTGTGGGCTTGTTGGTGAATCGTTTGAACAGCTTTGATGTAGCGCAAGGGAACACGCGAAATGACACGTAGGCGCTGTGTGGCGTCCCTATGTGCCTTTTCGTTTCCGTGCATCGTTTCGCGCTACATCAAACGAATAAGCTGTTCAAATAAAACCGGGCCGACAACGTGCACCGAACAGAGGCCTGCCTTCGGACCTCAGATTTCCATGGCTAAATGCGGAAACTAAATAGCTCCTTAAACGGGGTCATCGGCAGTTTTAATCGTCAAAAAATTGCACAGACATAACCTTGCAATTTTAACAATAGTATCCTGGTCCGACTGAGTAAAGGTATGAGGCAGGCTTGGCACTTGGCCACCCCCCCCCCCCCCCCCACCTCTTACCTAGATGATAAGGGGAATTGCGCCCGGGCTCCACTTTTGCGCGCGCCCGTGTATGGGTCGATACCCTTGCTGACAGTACCTTATGTCATCGCATGAATATGCAAGCATGCACTATCTTATGTACACACAATATTATCTAGCGCGACGATACCTGTTTCTTCCCGAAATGTAAGTATGCAAAATGAAATATTTGGACATTCATAAAGCGTTAACATTAACAAAATACCGGGGCTCCCCCATCTCCGACTGTGTGTGCGACTTTTTTCTTTATGGTATTTATCCCGACCTTGTGTAGGTCACCGTGTGCAAAAATTGTGCTCCATGTTCCGAAGTTGCTCATAAGAGTACCGTTTTGCTAGTATAAAAAAAAATTCACATAATTGAGCTATTCGGCAAGCTCTCGCAGCATGACATAAAAGAAACATACAGAGTGTGCGAGTAATGTATTACAATTATTTTGTGAACAAAAGTACACTTAATATGAAAATTACTGAGTAGAACATTGACTTGCACAAAGACTGCCTATATAAATGAATTGCTATTAGAACACAACGCTTAACTGAAATCATGTTCAGTATCTTCCAATTGAATAATTTTTCCTCCCTCCCTCCCTCTCTCTCTCTCTCTTTATACATACATACACACACACACACACACACACACACACACACACATATATATATATATATATATATATATATATATATATATATATATATATATATATATATATATATATATATATATGTGTGTGTGTGTGTGTGTGTGTGTGTGTGTGTGTGTGTGTGTGTGTGTGTGTGTGTGTGTGTGTGTGTGTGTGTGTGTGTGTGTGTGTGTGTGTGTGTGTGTGTGAAGGAGAGGGCTCGTTTTTCCGTGTTTAACACAATATATTGAGATCTAACAGACATTAATGCCAAGGAAAGTATAGGGGAAGTTATTAAACCAAATTGCAATGTTATTGTGAAGAAAGAAAAGTGACTGAAAAGATAACTTGCCGTGGGCAGGAACCCAACCTGCGACCTTCGAATAACGCGTTATTCGAAAGTCACAGGTTCGGTTCCTACCCTGAATAATTTTTTTGGGGGGAGGTTTGAGTGGCAAACGGCTAACCTTGGCCATTAGTCGCCGCTGTGAAAGCGCGCAAATACTTTAGTATCACCCGAAAAGCTAAAGCGCGAAAAAACAAAATTCGGTAGTGGGTGGAGGGGAAAGGGGGGTCCGGCCCTGCAACCAGCAAATCAAGAGAGAGCGTGAATGTGGAGACGTACACAGGTCACGTGGGATAATACGCCGCCATTGGCTGGTTTTGATGGGCCCGCTTGTTTTACCCACCCGAGCTTGACCGAGTGAAGTGGCCAGCATTCATTCAAGTGAATGACTCAAAGAATCAGATATACATGGCTAACCGGGCGGCAGGATACTATAGTTTCCTATACTGCCGCCCGCTTATTGGCTCATCCCCCTTTGTGGGTGAGCGCCAGCCGTGTGACGTCATCATCATCCCTACCCTAACGGGAATCGTACTTCACTTTTTTTTGCACCAAAATAGAATAAGCAGAGTCTACAATTTCTGGATGGCATACAGAATGAGTCTAATGTACATACAATATATATTTCGTAATGCGCGGCTAGAACTGAAATCTGTGCTGACATTGTGTTTGAGTCACAGTATATACAGCTGCAAATCGGCCACTCAATTTGAACAATGGCTTCATCACCCCGTTCGAGTCCTGTAGTAAGAGCGGCTGAGCACAGAAACTCGCATGCAAGACCAAAATGATCTACTTGGTGTTGTTCGTACAGGTCGATCGCTTTCAAACGCCGTTAGTGAACGCACCAAATCAACATGTCCTTTGCCATTATCTTTCGTACAGCAAACTTCAAGTTTATTGTTTGAGGTAACTATAGAGTGGGTGGTTCAGGAAAACCCGATCGACAATTTTCCAAGTTCTGCGGCTTCATAAGACCACGCGCACAAACCACAGAAAGAATGTCACATACATGCCGCAGCCCCATAATTGTAGAGCACATTTATTTTTATTTAATCAATACTGCGGAGTCGTGGTCCATGCAGGGTGTGTAATACATGTACAAAAGAAGCAGCAATGACACTTGAGCAATAAAGGTCAATAATGATATTGGCAGTCTGATCGCATGTATTCTCGGAAAATATGAATGCCTAAATAGGTCAGTGCGAGCAAAATATGAGGTTAAGGTGTTGGCGTGGTACGGTACGTGTATACCCACGCTGTTCCATGACGTCAGCAGGGGGGGGGGGGCGCAAAAGGGACACTTGCGCCCTTCCCCCTCCGATCCACGACAGCACTTGCCCACTCCATTAACACCTCACCCCCTCCCACACCGTGCGGCAATATGCGCTTGCACCCAGTATGATTTGGACATAGCCCAAATGATGAAACAGGCGCGAGACTCCATCGAGGTGCGTTTCAAGCACTGCATGCGATCTCCACGTGCCTCGACACACTCGAACGCCACCAACGCATTTCTAGAGGCTATATTCCTGTATGTTTCGCAAGAATAATAATAAAAAAAGAACGATCGTATCGTATGTCAGCACCATGAGGATCTGTAGCGCCACGTTTCGGACAGTGTTGCTGATTGCTTACGGTAAGTCATGACTCCTTAGTCCATTCTCCAGCATTACGAATGCGCAATTACATATGAAACCTCTGTTTTCTTTGGCATAATATATCGATGTTTGCATTGGTGACTTCAGCATTTCAAAGCTACTGTGTTTGTACTTGCCTATTCGTCAGCGTTTCAGTCATGCATTTAGGTCACGTAATTGGTAATCAGTGTGTCGAGATACCTTACATGGTTTACGTTTATCACAGTGGTTCAGATATTGCGTATAATATGTGCTAGTTGTTCAGCTTTATTTGTCTTCTTCCTTTCTTTGACGAATATGGAATGCAGAATGCAGTGTTTTGGATATGGTGGTTATATCGACGCCAAAAGCGCGTTCTTCCCAACCACCGATCGACCCTATAGAAATCTGAGAGACATCTCTCATCTGTTACCTTTATCGCCATTGCTGGGGCACTCTCGCGCTATCTTCTTCTTTATCATGCAGGAACGAATCTTGCCTGTATCGAGTAGCTGCGAGAAGCGCCTAGTTCCGCCATCCACCGTGCTGCTTGAACCCGAGGTGCACGTCAAGAGCGTCGACTAAGGGTGGTCGTGCCGAAATGGCCTGCCGCTTCTGGTCTGTTCGGTTTTAATTACACTCGCTGGTGTTTAACGTCCCCAGAGAGAAAGAGAGAATAAGTTCAGAGAAAGGCAGGAAGGTGAACCAGAATTGTAGCAACCTGGATAAATCTCTAAGTACACGGATCTCGAGCATTTTGCATCCATCGAAATGCGGCCACTGGGACTCGGACCTCGCGACCTTCGGGTCGGCGGTCGAGTACCATCACCGTTCCGGGTTGTGCTTTCACCTATATACCATCGCATCTTCCATTTTGACAATGGGCAGATGAAGGCGGCTTACGAATGCCTTGACTATTCGTGCTGTGCCGAAGCGAATTATAGATAGATAGATAGATAGATAGATAGATAGATAGATAGATAGATAGATAGATAGATAGATAGATAGATAGATAGATAGATAGATAGATAGATAGATAGATAGATAGATAGATAGATAGATAGATAGATAGATAGATAGATAGATAGATAGATAGATAGATAGATAGATAGATAGATAGATAGATAGATAGATAGATAGATAGATAGATAGATAGTCCAGTCATTTCAACTCAGCCAGACATTCAGTCAGTCTACGTATACCTTATGCGAATTGAACTAGTTCAATGGGCATGTCAGCAAAATGCACGAACTTGCAGTCTACCGTGGGATATAAGATTTAAGAGATCTCATGCTGGGATTTGGGTTAAAAGTCCTTCTGTCTGAAAAATAAAATGCGTGATAATGATTATTACTACGCATTTCATTTTTGCACGAGCGCAAATTAAGAGTGTAGAGACTGCTGTTGAGCATGAGTGTGTCC